CGGAGGGGGCGCCCCCGCCAGCGCCGGTAACCAAGGAAACGGCCAAACAGTGCAGTGGTGGCGCGGCCTGGCCCGGCCCGGCCCGGCCCTGCCCTTCTCTTCTTCGCCGTCGCGCTCCGCTCAGCTCTTTGCGGGGTCTGCGTCCGGTGGGGGCTCTGCTTCTGAGTTTCTCCTGAGCCCGGTGCCTCGGGGGGGGTCGGGCCCGAGCCCGAGGTGAGGGGGCTGTGTCAGTTTGTTACCTCAGCGAGGGCGCGGGCAGGGGCAGTGTGTTAGCAGATACGTCTGCAGTCGGTAAGAGACAAAATAGGGAGGTTTTGGGTGTTTTTTTGTTGGCACAGAACTAAATTAAATGTTTGGGTGGCAAGTTTAAACTTCTGCATGTATAAGAGTGTACCTTACCTCAACGTGCAGCAGCGACTCTGGGATAGGTGGTGGGAATTGCTGAAAAAGTTTGTATTTCCTGAAAGGCAAGCAAGGTAAAATCTTCACTTAAACACTTTAAATGTACACAGCCTCTGCAGTGAATAAGTTCCAGAATTAACTGACCTCCTGAGCAGTAGCAGTTCAGGAAAATCATCCTGCAATTGGGCTTTGGGCATGGCTTTTTCAGCATGTGCCCCAGAATTGACTTGTTTGTCAGTTCTTGGATTGTAAACTCATTATAGCGTACGCCTTCAATTTTTAGTATTTTTTGGCTCTTCAGTAGATTGTGAAGGGTTCTGAAAAACAAGTAAAACAAGTAATGCTTCCTCTGTTCTTCAGGAACTTTGTTTACTATTCTCACAGTTTTATGCTTTGTTGAAGGAGGAACTTTTTTCAGTTTATAGCATTCATGTCTATTGAGGGTGCAAAACCAGTAGTACTCTATAATAAATTATTTCTATACTTCGGTGTGACAATTATGTTCTCATTACAGCTTTATATTAAGGATATGGTGACTGACTTTGATGAAAAACATGATGAATACTTAATATCCCTTCAGCAGAGAAACCGGTAAGATACGTAATTGTTACCACTATTGCGTATGTAGTAGCTGTTGTGTACCATCTAACACAGTATCTAATCTCAGCAGTTGTGAGTATTAGTTTAAAAACCAAGTTTTTAAACTTGTGATGCAAAGTCTGAGTTGCTGTGTCTTAAAGCATTCAGGTGATTGTCTTTTCTTCCCTTTGTTTGCTAAGTACATCAAAGTTGTTATTTCTAGAGGAGATAATGGTATTTCTTCAGCATATTTTAAAATATAGATAAATTTATTAATAAAATAGTTCTTGTTTCCATGGCTTACGGGGACGATTTTTGTTTATAGAACAAGAGTGTGAGAGATGGAATTGTTTTGCTTCAGCCATTTTGTATGTCGACGACACAAGCAGGGCTATGAGCAGCCATTTTGTGTGTCGACAGCACAAGCAGAGCTGTGTAACGCAGAAAAAGTAGAAAAACAACTCCTTAAAAGGAGAAAAGTGTGAATCGAGTTTGTGATAGGCTGACGGGTCGTGAAAGAATGTGCGCCCTGAAGTACCCAACCAATGGGAAAAGGGGACAGGACATAAATACCTGAAGTTTTGTGGCTAGGTGTGCTCTTTTTGAGAGGCACCCGACTCAGCTGACTTCTTTATTTTGATCCTGAATAAACTTTTATCTTTGCTTCGAAGACTTTGTCCTCTCTACATTTTTATCCATGAGCAAGCGTTTCTTGCAAGAGGTTTTAGATTCAGAAGTAATTAGCAGCTCACACTGTGAGGATGTTGTTATGAGACAAAGTTTTTATGTTTTCAGTAATACAGAAAATTGCATGCAAAAGTTGCATTAAGGTAAATGTGCAAAGTCAGGTTCTGTTAAGGTGGGAGATAAGGACATGGAGGTGGCTTTTGCAAACTACTGTATCTTTCAAACAAGTTTAAAACATTTATTTTAATCTTCGTTCATGTGAATCTTCCTGTCGTGCTCTAGACATTAATTTCATTGGTTAATTCAGAAGGGCCTACAGAACTTTCTGCATTCCCTGCTTTACCAGAAGTCATAAGATTTTTACTCAAATTCTTACTCAAATTCTGTAACAAACTGAATGGTTTGGTGAAAAGACCAAAAAAACCCTCCAAAAGCCACAATTATGTTAGAACAGCCAATTTTTGTGAATACACGTTTCTTTCATATATAGTCTGCTAAAGCAGCTTTGGAAAAGGATAAAAGCAAATTATTTAATATTACACCCCTGAGGGACTTTGGCCCGTGGATTGACCCACCCTGCAGTCAGAAGGAAACCAGGAAGCAGCATGTGGGGGAAGGCGGAAATTGTCACCCACATGGCTGCAACCTCCTGGCCTGCATGTCACCTCACCGAAGGAATTGGGATGGACAGAGTATAACTCATGGTAACAGGAGGGAAGATGACACTTGGAAGTGGGAGGGTAGGTCTTTCACTGGAATTCAGCCTGGGGAAGGGCATTTTCTAATGTTCTTTTAACCGGACTTTAAGTTTCTGGTATCTCTAACTGCATGATCGATTGGGGGTTTCCCCCCTCAAGTTTCAAAACACACTGTGAGGAGAAGGACTGGTAAAGGGGCGCCCGGGGGCGGAGTGAAAGCGTTCTGGGTGGACAGAGTCCTGCGGGACACCGAGATAATGGGAAATGCGCCTAGTAAAAGGGATCTGAGGATCCGGGTTAGAACATTTCACCTGACAGCCCGTTACGGGTGATGCTTGGGAATTGGGAGCAGGGTTGCACCCAGGCAAAAGATAGGATAAGGGTACATTTGGTGTGGATTTTCTTTGTGCTTGAGGCTGGGAGATTTTTTTTGTTGTGGCCACAACCCGACTGCGAGCAAGTGGATGGGGTACAGGCATGGCTTTGGGATCTGCTGGCCATCATGCCTGTTACCCGTGGGCACTTAAGTCGCCTCATTCGATTAACATCCTTTCTACTTCAGGCTGCTGAGACGTTTAAAAAGAAAGGATCCTATACAAATCAAACTGGAGCAGTTAGAACAAGGATTTTCTCTGTATCTGAATGGAGCTAATTCGGAGCTGAGAAATTACCGCAGAAAAATCAACTCACATAGCTGCCTTAAAAATGAGACAAAGACTGCCAGGACAAATGGTGAGTTACATGAGAGTTTTACAGAGATTGCAGTCTAGAAAGTTTTTAAACATTTACTCATCAGAGTTGTAATTCAGTTGGTGAGATTACTGGTCGGGCTGTGATAAGGAGGCAGTAGCATTTGAGCTTGGTGGAATGAAATTCCATGGAACTCTTTCGTCACACTACTTAAGCTGGTTGTATGAAAGAACAGCAACAGCCTATCAATTTCTTAGTTGATTCCTAATTAATTCCAAAGTTTAATTTCCTCACCTCTCTATTTGTTAAGCAGTTACAACTAAAACTAGAAGATTAGAAATGTATATAAATTGTCAGTGTAAAATAATGGTATACCTTTGTGATACATAACACCATTAATAGGCTTTAAAATCTGATGGACTTCAGTGTTATTTAAGTCTGGTGTTCTGTAGACAAATGACATTTGATGACATAGACTATAATCAAATTATATCCAGTAATAGCTGCATTAAGCTCATAAATATGTTTAAGCTGTAACAATCACCTTAAAAAGACAGCTAATCTTTATTTAAATATTTGAAGTAAAAAAAATTTACCATTTTCTGCAAGTATTTAGCTTGCTTTATTTAAAAATGTGTATTTTATTTCTAATTTAAGTCTGTCAGTCATAGAGAGCCATTTAGTGACAGGAATAATCTCCTTAAAAGGAGAAAAGTGTGAATCGAGTTTGTGATAGGCTGACGGGTCGTGAAAGAATGTGCGCCCTGAAGTACCCAACCAATGGGAAAAGGGGGCAGGACATAAATACCTGAAGTTTTGTGGCTAGGTGTGCTCTTTTTGAGAGGCACCCGACTCAGCTGACTTCTTTATTTTGATCCTGAATAAACTTTTATCTTTGCTTCGAAGACTTTGTCCTCTCTACATTTTTATCCATGAGCAAGCGTTTCTTGCAAGAGGTTTTAGATTCAGAAGTAATTAGCAGCTCACACTGTGAGGATGTTGTTATGAGACAAAGTTTTTATGTTTTCAGTAATACAGAAAATTGCATGCAAAGGTTGCATTAAGGTAAATGTGCAAAGTCAGGTTCTGTTAAGGTGGGAGATAAGGACATGGAGGTGGCTTTTGCAAACTACTGTATCTTTCAAACAAGTTTAAAACATTTATTTTAATCTTCGTTCATGTGAATCTTCCTGTCGTGCTCTAGACATTAATTTCATTGGTTAATTCAGAAGGGCCTACAGAACTTTCTGCATTCCCTGCTTTACCAGAAGTCATAAGATTTTTACTCAAATTCTTACTCAAATTCTGTAACAAACTGAATGGTTTGGTGAAAAGACCAAAAAAACCCTCCAAAAGCCACAATTATGTTAGAACAGCCAATTTTTGTGAATACACGTTTCTTTCATATATAGTCTGCTAAAGCAGCTTTGGAAAAGGATAAAAGCAAATTATTTAATATTACACCCCTGAGGGACTTTGGCCCGTGGATTGACCCACCCTGGAGTCAGAAGGAAACCAGGAAGCAGCATGTGGGGGAAGGCGGAAATTGTCACCCACATGGCTGCAACCTCCTGGCCTGCATGTCACCTCACCGAAGGAATTGGGATGGACAGAGTATAACTCATGGTAACAGGAGGGAAGATGACACTTGGAAGTGGGAGGGTAGGTCTTTCACTGGAATTCAGCCTGGGGAAGGGCATTTTCTAATGTTCTTTTAACCGGACTTTAAGTTTCTGGTATCTCTAACTGCATGATCGATTGGGGGTTTCCCCCCTCAAGTTTCAAAACACAAATAATCTTTTTACTTTCTTTTTTTTTTCTTTTTTCTTGAAAAAAGCTCAACCATTTTTAAGCTTTTTGGTATTCTAAGTAAAAATCTTAAATATTCTCAAGAAGAAAGGTTAAGTATACTAGATACCAAATGGAAAAATAATGTGAAATGAGAAACAACATAGAAAAAAATCTCCGAAGGAAGAGGCTCGGTCAAACTTCACATGTCACAGCATGTGGGTACTCATACAAGCATTACGGAACAGGAGCAGGTCCTGGAAGCTATATGCTGAAATTGTTGTTTGGACTAGAAACTTATTTTTTAGCTTTGTGTCATTGTGTGGTTTTTGCATTTATTGGTAATCTGACATCTGTATACGCTCTGCGTAATGATGAATTAACATCCTTTCTACTTCAGGCTGCTGAGACGTTTAAAAAGAAAGGATCCTATACAAATCAAACTGGAGCAGTTAGAACAAGGATTTTCTCTGTATCTGAATGGAGCTAATTCGGAGCTGAGAAATTACCGCAGAAAAATCAACTCACATAGCTGCCTTAAAAATGAGACAAAGACTGCCAGGACAAATGGTGAGTTACATGAGAGTTTTACAGAGATTGCAGTCTAGAAAGTTTTTAAACATTTACTCATCAGAGTTGTAATTCAGTTGGTGAGATTACTGGTCGGGCTGTGATAAGGAGGCAGTAGCATTTGAGCTTGGTGGAATGAAATTCCATGGAACTCTTTCGTCACACTACTTAAGCTGGTTGTATGAAAGAACAGCAACAGCCTATCAATTTCTTAGTTGATTCCTAATTAATTCCAAAGTTTAATTTCCTCACCTCTCTATTTGTTAAGCAGTTACAACTAAAACTAGAAGATTAGAAATGTATATAAATTGTCAGTGTAAAATAATGGTATACCTTTGTGATACATAACACCATTAATAGGCTTTAAAATCTGATGGACTTCAGTGTTATTTAAGTCTGGTGTTCTGTAGACAAATGACATTTGATGACATAGACTATAATCAAATTATATCCAGTAATAGCTGCATTAAGCTCATAAATATGTTTAAGCTGTAACAATCACCTTAAAAAGACAGCTAATCTTTATTTAAATATTTGAAGTAAAAAAAATTTACCATTTTCTGCAAGTATTTAGCTTGCTTTATTTAAAAATGTGTATTTTATTTCTAATTTAAGTCTGTCAGTCATAGAGAGCCATTTAGTGACAGGAATAATTTTGCGTGTATGAAGGTGTAAAGTATGAGCTTACTGGCTTTCTAATCTGTTTAGCATAATGAAAGTAAAGTTGATTTCACTAAATCCCTGTATAAAACACTTTACCAACCTTAGGCTGTTACCCTCACACTTGCTACAACTTGTCTCTTAGAGTGTATTTTTTTAATCAGTGTCTGCTTAAGCCTTATTTTCACTCACAAATTAAGACAAAGAGGTAAAAGGTTACTTAATACGATAATTTATTATGATTGGAAGTTTATTAATCTCAACAATACTGGAAACTAACTTTTCTGTCAGTAACTGTTCTAACCTTGATCTCTTTTTTTTTTTCTCTGTTTTCCTGCTACACTGGGTACATACTATTTCTTTTCAAATGTAAGTGTGTTCAGGCTTAGCTGTCTGCTATATAATTTCTTGCAGGTTGTATGGGATGGTGATGGGGAATCAACTAGTCACCTAGTTTCACTGTTCTAAGTGAAAGTAAAAACGTGTGTAATGATGCAAAAAAGTTAATGTTCTTGAGTACTGGAAAAAGAAGGCAACGGTGTGCTCTGTCACACTGGCATGATATACCTTTAGGTAGCTAAAGAGGGTGTAAAGCAACATCTTTGACTTTTTGGTCCAAAAATTGTGCAGGGATATTGTGGCAGCAGCTGTCATAGAACTATGTCAGGAGAAATTTCCTCTACAAGCTGTGGTGCAGCTGTTATCTCTAAGCTTAACCAAAGTTGGTTGTTTTTATGGTTGCTTAATGCCATTTGATTCAGTTAAGGTTACTTCAGCTTGTCTCTAAAGACTTCAGTGGCAGTTTCTGTTCCTTTCCTCAACTCCATCAACTTAGAGACAGTAGCATTATCTCTGCAGAAGAGAACTCAGAGTTTTGTTGTGTCTTAGCTATCCAATATTGTTATTTTAAACAAGTGTAGCTGCAGTGAAAGTTACCAACTGAATCATCACCCTGTCATTTTTCTTCTTCCATTTGATTTTACCACTCGAGTCCAGAGTGGCAGTCATTGGTGATCTGTATAAGCATCTTGCCCAGGGGTAGTACCGTAGCAATTTTGTGGTCTGTTTAATTTCTAGGCATTTCTTCTTAATGATTGAATATGATTTTACTTACAGAAACTATTTCTAGCTGAGGTACAGCACTGAATTTTCTTCCCTATCCATCTCCCGTGAGAGTTATTGCATCATTTATTACTTCTAAAGCATCCATCTATGGGATTAGTCTTCACTGAAAAATTAGGAATGTGTGATACTTAATAATATAGAATGGGCACAAATCCCTTCTTGTGGTTCCTGAAAGTGTTGTCATAAATCTATTTGTCTGGACTATTTTCTTTGTCTGTGTTCCCTAGGAGTAATAGTGATTGATAAACTTTTTACACTTAGGTTTGGTAAATGAATTAAAGTAAACGATGGGCTTATAAGACAGTGAAGCTGGTCTCTAGGTATACTGTCATTTCTTTGGGTGTATAACCCAGACATAGTTTCACAACCATGTATGTACTTCCAGTGAATGTTGGTGTGGTGACCAAGACGTGGCTTAAGGGTAGCATGGGGTCTTCTTTGACTGTGACTAATATTTTGATGATGTACTACTCAGTTTGTGGTGACTAGAATAGGCATAGTCAGCTCGAGTTACTATGGGAATGACCCCAGTGGACCTGTTTTGTGTGCCAAAACAGGCAGTGATTGATATTTGCATCCCATCCATCCCATGAGAAGGATGTTTTTGTTCTAAAGTAACATTTGTAGCTCAGATGACTGGCTCAGCTGCATCAGTTTCTGCCTGGGATTTGAACTACTGGTCACATGAATCCATCACAAAACACTCAAACAATTCTGAGAACCAAATACTCAGCAGTGGTAGCATGAGTGCCTGTCCCCTTTTCCTGCTTACATTTATTGCATACGTGAGTGGCCTTCTGGGCAGTTGCTTAGAAGAGATGGATTTCTTAGGAAGTGAAAGTACAAGATGCTTCCAGTTCTGTCCCAAAGCAGTGACTGAATCAGACCACACTACTAGCATTGTATTCTCAGGACATTTCGCCCTCAGTGTGCCCGAAGAGCCCCGTAGCAATCAGCACCAATGCTAATGTCTGCAAAGTATTTCTGGAGTTACCTGGGAGTAGCCTAATGGAGTAGCAGGAGCTCTAGTTGGAAGGGCTGTTTCTTTTTCCTTGGAGCAGTCCATTCCTTTCCCCCTCTGTTCTTAGTCCCATTTCAGGCCTAAGAAACAGATACTTTGTGCTGAAGCAATAGAACAACATCTGGTTCTTCTTGCTCTGTAATTTTATGATCACTCTTAAATTGATATAAGCATACACTCTTCCCCCAAGAATGGTCCTACCCTGTGCCTGTCCTCTCCTACCTGCTTGTACCACTTGTGCAATCTGGTTCTCATGGTGAACCAGATTGCACAAGTGACTATAATTAAAAGTAATCTTTCTTTTATGTTTTTCCTCAGTTAAGATTTGCCCATATAATTCTCTGAACAGTTCACTGCACAGGTGCATGTAGCGTTGTCCAACCCAAAAAAGAAAATGTGGTATAGAGAGTTATAATGAGCAACCTGGTCTAATTTTGAAGCAACCCCTGCTTTGAAGGGAAAGTTGGACTAGGTGACCTCTGGAGGTTCCTTCCAAACTAAATCTTTCTGTGATTCTATGACCTTTGTAGGACGACTGCTTCTTTTATTGGTAGTGCCGGTTCCTGCTGGCTTAGGGTGACCATTAAATTATGGCTTAAAGAAAAAAGGTTTTGCATCAGCTGTTTTTCTCCACTGAGAAGAAATGGAAGCTGTAAATCTGTCTTGGACATAGGAAACAAGATGCCTTTATTTAGGATGCTATTGAGAATGTTGGTGATGCCCTTGCTCCGTTAAGGATGCTGATGTGACCTGCAGGATGTTTGTCTCTCTGTCTCAATCAATTCTCTAAAATCCATTGTTCTACTGTAAGTTGGGACCATTTCCAGCACAGGAACCCTCAGTTCTGCTTGATCATACATAGAATTTTTGCAGAAGTTCTGGAACCAACTATTCCCTACTTTAGACATGAACGAAAATTATTTTGTCCTTCATTTATGACTTCTACACAAAGAATCCTTCTCTGCACAGTATGTTAAATATCTAGTACATTCTGTTTTATCTGCCAATACCTTATGTTTCCTTAGTTTGAGAGTAAATACAGGCAATTCCTTTGTAAATGCAGCGTGTCACCTGTTGTTCACCGGGACCCTGTCTGTCAGAGTCTGCCTTTAGTAGTATGGGTTTTGGGCTCAGTTAGGTTCTGAAGACAGCTTGCTGTCTACCCGGCTAGGAGTTAGAATGATGTGTGCCCCTATTCTACAACATATTTCTATACTTTTCATATCAATGAACGCAGAGCTTCACTTGCTGTTAAGCTAATGTATCTGTAAACGAATTATTCTCTTGAATACACATGATGATGACTGTCTCTGAAGGGGTTCAAAATGCCTGCTACTAGTACCCAACTAGCCAGTGTCTGAAGTCGAATGCCCTTTCAGTTGTTGATACCATTCACATATCAAAGACTTACTCTTCTGTCCTCATCTGGGGGGGGGGGGGGGGAAGAATGCAAACTAAGGTGTATATTGTCAAATGCCGTACTTCTGTTTTCTGTCTTGTAATTCTTGTCTCTGTGTTCTGAAAAAACAGCCCAGGTAGAAGAGAGTGAGTTGCAAGAATGCAGCACGCAGACTGCACCAAGCAAAATACAACGCAGAGGTTGGCTTCAGGTAAGAAACAGTTGGAAAGAATGCATTGTTGATCTAATTCTTAGACCATAAATAATTTCAGGGGAAATTGGTTGCAACTAGTAGGTAGTGGGCAGCTGGGACTCGCATAGAGTCTGACTCTTGGTTTGGTCTGGATACTGAGTGACAATGTGAAACGATACCCTGGCCAGTTTTGTGTCTACTTTGAAACCTAAAGAGGCAAATCTCATGGAAAGGGTCTGGTTTCAGTAACATTCATCACAGAAACTTCAGCCATGCTTGTGTGACTGACAGTGTGCATACTTTGATATCGTCCTAATTATGAAGTAAAAGAAATTAATTTAAACCACTTCTGCAGCCACATCTCACAAAGCCACTTCTGCAGCCACATCTCACAAAGCCACTTCTGCAGCCACATCTCACAAAGCCACTTCTGCAGCCACATCTCACAAAGAAATCTTTGTGCTTGAATGCTTATGGCTTAACATTGCTCCCTTATTATATTTTACACAAGAGGAATAAATCTTCAAAAAATTGCTCTTACTTCAATTAGTCATTTTCATCCATAGATGTTACAGAATCACAGCATTACTGTGGTTGAAAGGGAACTCTTGAGGTCATCTGGTCCAATCCCTGTACTCAAGCAGGGTCAGCTAGAGCAGGTTGCCCAGGACAGTGTCCAGTCAGGTATTGAATACTCTACAGACTCCACAGCCTCTCCAGGGAATCTGTTCCAGTGTTTGATCACCCTCACAGTAAATTTTTTTCTTCTTTTTGGATGGAGTTTCATGTTTGTTTCTTTTTTTAGTTGGTGCTCATTGCCTCATGTCCTGTCAGTGAGCAGATACCTGTCAAGTATTTATACACAGTGAAAAGATCCTCCAGAGCCTTCTCTTCCCCAGGCTGTAGAGTCCCAGCTCTCCCAGCATCTCCAGCAGAGCACCTTTGTTTGTTGCGTCATCAGTACTGTGGGCATTCCAGAAATCTAGATTGCTTGAGTCCTGCTGTATTGTCTTTCCAGCAGATACCAGGTTTGTTAAAGGTACCCCATGAGGACAAGGGTCTTTGAACTCGCGGATTCTTCCAGGTTTTTGAGGAAGGCCTCATCCACTTCTTCCTGATCAGGAGGTCTATAGCAGATGCCCACTATAATGGCACCCTGTCTCCTAGTCTTGACTGAGAAGCTCTTGACTGGCTCCTGACGTGTTCCTTGGAGAGCTCCTTACATTCCTAACATTCCATCTCTCTCTCACATAAAGGATAACAATTCCTTCTCAGCTTGTCTTTCTTGAAGGGTCTGTGCCTGTATCCATCCATCGCAGCACTCCAGTCTTGTGAGCTGTCCCGCCATCTCTCTGTGATCCCAATGAGGTGATAGCCCTGTAACTGGATACAAGCTTCGAACTCCTCCTGTTTGTTCCCCATTCGTGTAGCTGCGTTTCAGAGAGGCACCCACACATGCTGATGCCCCAGAAGAGGCTTGAGAGCTTTTGCCATAAGGTTCTTCCACCAGCACTTCTTGCAGCACTTCATGCCTGCGCTTTACGTGATTGCACTTCAGCTGTCTTGTTGGTTGCTGTATCCCTGCTCCTATCGTTTTCTCACTCAGCTGGTTAGGTGAGGGGGTGAACCCCGATGGGCACTCAGTTTGATGCCAAACTCTGGGGATAGCAGCAGCAGGTAGGAAGTTTGACTAGGGCAGTTAAACCATAATGCAGGGCCCAAAAGTGAGCTCGGGGAGGGCAGAAACCTTCTGTGGAACAGAAGGGAGAAAGGTTGCTTGATGTAGATATTGTTATGTAAAATGTGATGATTTTTCTTTTTGTACTGCTGATAGCACAAAAGATGTCTAATTTCTTTGAATGCTTCTCCTAACAGAAAACTGTGGAGATTAAAACAGAAAGGGGTGCTAAACTCTGCCTTAAACCTCCTCTCGACTACTCTGAGGATTTTGAACCTTATGAAAGCTTAAGCGTGGAGACAAATGGTGATGATCCTCTCCGTTACTCCCAGGTACAATTGGCAGTTGCCTTCTATTGTTCATGGTAATGTCAATTGAAATGTGAAGGGGCAGAGCATGCGAACCCAGTATATAGCGTTTCTTTCACCAGATGATTTTGCATTGATGAGATGTGACATAAAGAAGGAAAAAATGAAAAGAAAAGGTAAAACTACTTTGAAAATCTTATCTCAGTCAACAACACTGTAACATGTTAAGTCCTAATTTAAAGAGGTAGAATATTGTCTCTCTTGGATAGAACCAAGGTGTTTCATGCAAGGAGACTCTCAGTTTCCTTAATGGTTGTCCACATGAATGTCACTCTTGGCTGTCAGGTTAGAGAAAGCTTAAACAGCAAGTTTTTCCTGGTTTAGGTTAGTTTTTGAATAATCGTGCTGAAATTGTTGCATTACATTATTTTACCCAACAGAAGTCAGAGTAAAGTTTTTAAAATATCAATAATAATCAATACAGTTGCTTTCCATCAAGGGTTGCTATTGTATTGACTCCATTGTTTGACAGTTCAGCCTTCCGTTTGGTTACTAATGGCAGTTTGTTCTAGCGCACTTCACAAATGTCCTGTCATTAAAAAAATGAATAAACAGAAATTTATGAAGGTTTTTCTGCCAAACTGATTCATGATACCAGTAAAGCTTTTGTGGGTAGTGGAGTAGCATCTACATATGAAACTGTCCACAGATCGTACCGCTGACATCAAACAAACTACCCAATATTTTCCTAACTTGCATCTTTCTACCTTTCCTATATTGCTTTTGAGATTATAATTCTTTTTTTTTTCTCTACAAACTGGTAACTTTTTTACAATGATGGATATTTATAATCATTTATGTGTAAGTAGTAAGCTAATAATTTTAAATCAAAACCACACTTTTCTTTGTATCCCAGGTGGAAATACTTTTGGTTTTCCTGAAGCTATAATTTGTTTTCTTGAATGTCTTGTTACAATGCAGATGTCATGAGGTTTCAAACTAAAAGAAAGCCTGTAAAATTCCCTATCAAATAGCTACAAATAGTCTTGACTGTTATAAAGACGTGCTCAATATCAAGCCTCGGGTTGCTTGTAGACCTTCTTTTTAACCTAAGTTTGTCTGCTCTTTGTAATATGTTTCTGTCAACATGGATTTCCTAACAAGTGTAATCAGTAGCAGAAGAGCAGCTTGAAGCTTTCATTGCAAACCGAACATACACTGTCACAGTTCATTTGTACCTCAGATAGCTTCAGGTTTTCATTTTACTCATACAGTTTGCTCACCTGTAGTTATCTCAAAACTCTTAATACCAACGAAGTAGGAAAAAAAGCATTTAAAATAGGCAAGGTCTTTTCATTTTGCATTCATAATATTGCAAGGCTTTCCAGCATCATCTGTGCTGTTTGTGGCATATGCTGAGAGAGGCAGGGTAGTTTTTTTCCACAGTAAATTTCAAAATAGTTTAATTTTTGTGTAAAATCCTGTTACAATGTGTCCACTTAAAAAAAAAATCTGTGCAAACTGGAAGCTTAGTCCATTAGACCACCGCTCTTTTCTACCATATTTTGAAATACAGATGTATACAAGGCAAGTCTGTTATCACCTCTCTAATTGCTTATAAAGAAGTCGGTATTACATTAGCTTTGTAGTCTTGTGATGGCATTTGGAAAATCTGGATTGCAGCTAGTCTTCAAATAGGAAGCCAAAAGATATGACAATCTTAACTGCGTGAGACTGGAAAAATATATTCCCTTGCCCTCTCCATTCATTACCTCCTGTTTGTAACTTATTCCTAAAAATTGGTTTTGCACATAAAAATTCCCTTGGCCTACAGGATTTTCTTGCAAGGATTCTGAAGGAACAAAGGACTAGTAGGATGATTTTTCTTTACGAATCCTCATCAGAGGAGTGAAGACGCAACACAGGAATGTGAATATTTTTAGCTGTATCGTGGCTTTTAGTTCATGAGAAGATTTTTCTTTCTCCTAGGGGAGGAAGAGGCAGCCACACTGATTTGTTTTAAAATATGTGTTTGAGCTTTTCTGACAAATCTGTTTGAATTGTACCAGAAATTGAGAAGAAGCTTGCAACTCAGTACAGAAGAGAAAAGGATGGAAGAAGACTCTCTTAGTGATGATTATGACTCTGTTGAAGAGGACGTGTTTTCAGAACCATCTCCCACTGAGGAAACAATTACAAGCTTTGGAGGCCTTCAGTTGTATAGCAGTAGATCACTGCAGAAAGAAGCTTCTGAACATCAGGATGCTGGGAGATGCTCTAGCCTTGATTCTGGTGCCCCTACTGTGTTGGAGTTCAACCAGGATCAAAGCAGTAAGTCTCTGTGTATTATGCACTACTACAGCACTATAATAATTCTTTGAGAATATTACTGTTAAGGGAATCGCTGGTGGCTAATCATTAATGGTTACTTCATACTCTGAGTTTTCATGCTCTTCAGCAAACCTGTTGTTTTAATCTCCAGATTTGGGAGACTTGCATCCTCTTATTGCTAGGTTTAGAACATTTTTGGAAGGACAAAGATGTAGCCCTGGTTAAGCCACTTGCATCACCAGGTCTAGACAGTTGAACTAAGATTGTCTCAGACTGTCTGCGAGATTTCTCAAGATATTATTATTATTTTAATATATTTTTGAACTGGTTTTGCAGTAATCCAGGCAGCCAGATCTTCCCAGTCTCAACTTCCTCCATTTCACATCCTGAGTGCTGGATAACTGTTGTCATAGCACGTGCTATTCATCCCTGACGAAAAATGTATTAATTCGAGAAAACAAATCTGTCTGGCTCTGAGCCACTTCTTTTTGTCAGGTCTTGTCCTTTGGACACCTCAATGTCCAAACCCAAAACCAGGCACAAGATGTTTACCTTGTTAAAGGTGGAGAGTTCAGGCAGAAACCAGACCTTGACCTACACTCAGGATTTCTCAAAATTCCTTCATCACTCATTTCGGGTACATTCATTGGGGTCGGTTTTGTTGGTTTTGTTTTGTTTTGTTCTTTTTTTTCTTTCTTTCTTTTCCTTATCCATAGTTAATTCCTTAACTTAAGAGGAACAATCTTTGAATGAATTGAATAAAGGAGTGTTCTTATTATCATAGAGATGAGTGGAATGTGAATGGGGAGAGGTGGCAGAAGAGATAGGAACAAGGGATGAAGCAGCAGCGAGAAGGTCATCTTTGGGAGAGTACATGATTTTTTTTCCAGAGGGGAGTTTCAAAGCTGTGATACAAACAATGGAGGCATTAATAACTCTCAAATAAAAAAGTGAAGAGGTACTCTTATGAACTACACTAGGCAACCCTCTTCCCCTTTGAAACTTCTAAATAAGCCAACGTTTTAGTCTGCATTTCAAGAATTTATTTTGGTATAACTATGTTAATAAGTGACTCACGACTTCTTTTTTATTTTGGCTTTTCTTGACAGTAATGCAGGTCAATATCTGGTACAGGTGAGATATATTGGTACCTTATAATGATGTTTTATTTTGTTTCACAAAGTCAGTGCAAGCCATGCATATGTACTTCTACATCAATAGAACAGGATCAGCAAAAGGGAGGGAGGATGGAGGTTATCACTTTGCCAGCATAATTAAAGCAGCAAAATTTCAGCAGTTAAGATCCAATAGGGTGTCCCTGGCTAGCTGCCTTTAAATAGCTCTGAAGTTGATTATTTCTGTTCCCTTATTATCTTGCAGATGTGAAGCCACTACGAGTTCTCTCGGCAAAAAGGAAAGATAATGCTGAAAAGTACATTCCTGTCAGACCGATCGTGGTAAAAAATAAAATCACTCGGCCATTCTCTGCTGAGTTCTTGCAGCAGGAAAGACACGAAAAAATTTGTTCTAGTAAGAAATAAGAATATCTAATGTCAGTAAGGAGAGTTTTTCATGCTTTTTCCGCCTCTGGCTGAGAGATAATTTCAGCACACATCTGTCACTATGTGTTTTTTCTTAGCTGTTGTCCTTTCTTGTTTTGGGGTGGAGAGGAGGTGGTGGGTGGTGGTGTTTTTGCCTCTTGGAGTGTTTTGACTTAGGTGAAATTGTGAGGAAGTCCAGAGCCTGTATACTTCATATACTTTAGTCTTGTGCTACATCTTTACTGCCTGCCTTCTCTTTTGGCTTCCACAGCATAAGGCTTTTTCCTCTCCCTTTCAGTCCTTGTGCTTGCTCTGTGTTGCCCACTTTCCTCGTGGAGATCTGTTCCCTGTGCTGTTAACAGAAGAGTGTCTTCTCAAAATCAGCAATTGATGCTTTGGTGGAAGATTTTAACACAATGCATTTACAGCAATAAAGGCATAGTTTTCCACAACACAGCAAAACTAGCTCTGTTGCTGCTTGGGACTGTACTTGAATTCCACCTTGAACACTGCAGATCATTCTCGAGTGCTGGGTGGGTATGCCAGCATCTAGTACCATACTGGAAATGTTTTTCCTGGATTGGAGAACACCATTTTGAAGGCACTGCTGCTTATTCTAGAAGTCTGCTGCTAAGGTGTGGCATTTAGCTGGGCTAAAAAAAAAAAACAAACCTAGCCCCAAATCTAGGGGCTGAAATCATGGTTGCAGTTGTTTTTTTCAGCACAGTCCTTAATTGAACACATCTGAATGAACTTGAGTTTTGAGAGGTCTGAGATAGTTTTCAGAATTACCATGCCCTGCAGTTAAGACACTCTTTTCAAAAAAGCAAAATTCAGATGTGTCTCAAGAAAGCAATAAAGCTAATGGTTTTGAAGAGTCAAAATATTAGTTTCTTAATTGGCGTAAAACCAAATTGAGGAAAATAAGCTAATTCTTTTTGGCTTCAGAATAAATCCTCTTTGTAGCTTCTGAGACCCTCACCCACCATCTGTCTGAGCAGATGCTCGCTTTAACTGGTTTCCAAAGATGTGTGTAGCATTTTCTTCAGGTTATAATAGTGCTTGTTAGAACTGTTTCTGTCCAACTATCGCTTCAAATCCTTAAATTAATTTCATTTCAGGGGTATAGTATAGTACAGAAAAATAAAAAGGACTTTATTCTGTCCCTGAATTTGCAAAGATGACTAATGCTTGTTGAAGGTTTTTATGAGCGTAGATGGCTTAGGGCTTAAAGAGTGTGAATGCATGCAAATCTCAGTTCAGTTCTAACTTCCTGTCTTTTCAAGGTAGACTTCACGTTACTAACATCCGCTGCCATTTCACTCTCCTGCTTAGGAAACCTCACTGCAGCATTGTGAGCACGCTTGCATGTCAGCCTGTTCTTCAGTATTTTCACTAGATCTAAATGCCTATACAACTTTGATCATTTTTCTTTCCTTGACTTTTGAAGTCCTTGAATATAGCCACTGTGCTTCTCTTTTGAACATGACAACTGTGCTTCTTTTTCAGTCCAATCTCAGATCCCCTATTGTTAAATTTTATTTCCTTTCTTTTAAACCTGTTTATAGGCTGTGACATTTCTATTTCTCCGTGATGTTTGGGAACATTGGAATGTGTATGGGCATTTTGATGACTATTTCAGTGATAAGGTCATTTATTTTGCCTTGCAAGTAGCAACTCCTGACTTCCCTTGTTCTGGTAGAAGTCTCTGGGGATTCCTCCAAAATAGCTGAACACCCCAGTTTCATTGAAAAAGTCTGGTGTGGTGAAATTACATACACTTTTTCAATGAGCTGTTACAAGGCATTTACGTTAAATACTGGAACAAAGCAAGTACAAAAAATCTTAAAGCATAAAAATTATGTTTGTCATTTGTCAGTTTTCTTCCTTTTATGATACTGTTTCAGCTGTTGTCTAAAGTAGGTGTGACCTGGAATCTTAATATAAAACCAAATTGGAGCAACTCAGCCTTGCTCAGGATGGTTACAGACTGCTGGCAAAGCCTGGTGTCGGTAACTGAATCAGGTGTTTCAAACATACACTGTTGTAACGTTCCATACTTTATGTTGGAAAAAATGAATATTCCTTCCTTCTTTTGGTGGCAGGACCGTTAAGTCGGCCAGAAAGACCGCTTTCAGCAACTCGAAAGAACATGTGTGAGAAGGATCCTGATCTCTCAGTTTCAGCTGTGGTTAAAGCAATGCAAATTGAAAATGAAGTCTTGCAGAGAGATTTGCAAAGGCAGACCGTTTCCACAAGCCCTCAAAAGGTACAGCAAAATACAGAAGAGGGCTGTTTGATCAAGTAGCAACCCCCCCATTAATTACAATCTCTTATACATTAAGATTGTGTATGAATGAACAGTGATGTCTCTTAAATGTAATTGAATTTGTGTTGCTCTTCCATAGGGTGGTTTTCTTTATTCTGCGCTCTCAGGATAGCATCCCACAGCTCTCTCTTGATTTCAGGGATCGCTGTGCGACTGATAGACCAGTCACATGATACGTCTGTACAGTCAAATGCACAGCTGCAGGCCCAGTTGAGCCATTTTCATTCTGGAAGCTTCTTAAACAAGAGAATGTGTTATTTCCATACCGATAAATCCTACCTTTCTATTTGACTCATTAATATGGGCACTGTTCCCTGTTAATACATGCTTTGCGTTTGAAGAGTACTAGCTAGCTCTTAGTGAGGAGGAGCTAGTACGGGTTTTCCGCACCAATGCTTGTACATCTCTTATCTCCGACAACCATGTTTAAAAGCAATTAAAAACTCCTAAACAAGGGAATTGGCAAAAATCCATTCCCTTCTGATTCAGGTCAGACCATTATTCCTTGTTAAGTTAAAGAATATAAGGAGGTTTGTGTTGACAATCCTAGCCAAACTTTGAGCATAACCAATAATTCAGTTCTAACAGAAAGAAAGTAAATAAAGACATTTGAGCATAAATTGAAATTTACAGAACCATCTGTCATGGACAATGTTCATGGATTCAAAGTCTGCTTCCAGTTTGGAGTTTAGGAGACTCATTTTTTTTTAGGAAGGAAAAGAGAGATGCATAGAAATCTTGGAGTTACTCATCTGAATTCTGAGTTTCCAAGACAGCTTACCACTTTAACCCAAGCTGATGCTCCCTGAAGTTGTGAGCTCACGCTATGATGAATATGTATCCACTGTCATCGCTGAACCAACGTTAGGTTTCTGGGAAGCTTTAGTTAGGAGCAAGGGTGAAAATGTTCTTTTACTGTAGGTAAGTCCTTTACATATGATTTCATCATGTAGGTCAACTTTTCAATCTTATTCCTCTTGTTTTTGAGATATTTATAGCTTTGTGATTGAGAGAACAAATTCCATTGAATATTCTCACATAATTTATCTTCCTGCCAACATTAAGACTGATTTTAATATTGTTGTGCCTAAATGAAAAATAATGAAATAATACTTAAAATAGATGTAATTTTACTCTGACACTTGAGATTGAGTTTCAAAAACCCACTATGAGTTCTCAGTCTTAAAGCTGACCTAAATGATCTTCCAGAAGTAATTTAATTTTGCAATTAAGGATTGTGGAACTTGGCGTTTGATATTTAAATATATAACAATGCAGAATTTTTAATACTAAAAAAGTAATTAACTTCTAAGCATTTTAAAGTTCTCTTACTCTTCAAAAATTATAGAAATGGAAGTGACCTAAGAACAGAAGGACTGCCATTCCTCATCTAACTAGTTGTTCACTGTGCTGCCTATTCTGTCTCTGAGAGAAGCTACCAACAAAATTTTAGGACAAATAACAAAGGGAGGAGGGTATACTTACAAAGCGGGGTACAGGCAGAGAAAGAGCCCATAGCATTGTAGGAACTGCAGGACTTTTCCTCTGTTTTCTCTTAGATAGTCAATATTGATAGTTCTATATTTAAAACAATAAATCAATATTTTATTCTACTAAAACTGAGTTTTTCAGGGTTTAAAAGTCTTTATGATCCTCTTTTGGAGAAGGAGAAATCTGGGCAGACCTGTGCCAAAGCTTTGGCCAACTCCAAGTCCTACCAAATGTATACAACAAGATTTCAGACAGACACACACACACACATATATTTGTATTTTTAATAGTCATCAGAGAATGCTTTTACATTACTTTTCTTCCACATAGACCTGAGCTTGGAGCTTGATATTCTTTCATTGCAAATCAAAACTGATTCTGTTAAACGTGCTTTAAATCTATACTGAGTTACAGATTAGCTAAGGTTAGCTGAGACCAGAGCTGGGCCCAAACTCTTACTTATTCCAGAGACACAGACTGATACTCATTTTGTGGAGAACAATGTGAATGAAAGGTGTTCATCTTTTTCTTACTTAGAAGAAATTTTCTGTTTCGTCTGTTGTTTCTGCAATGGCTGAACCTCCAGAAAAAAGCCAGACAAGAACTGCAGTCACAAAAGCTGTGGAGAGAATTTGTCCTTTTGGAAGCAGGTATATATATATTTCCTTTAAGGCTAGCTTCCTTTTTGGAAGAGAGATTTTTTTCAGTATACCACCAGCTGTACTGTAGTACCCCTACACCTGATAATCTTACATACCTGAGGCATCATGCAAGTAGTAGCAAATCAGGGAGAAGGTTCCAGCTGTGGGCCAGTATGTGTGGCTTGGGGAACTGTCAACATCTCCCTCTGTTTGTCTTTGTATTGCCTATTCTCAGACTGGCTCAGAACCAGCTGAGAACTGGAGCCCAGTCTTTGAACCAAACTCAGGGTATCCAAGGTGGGATGCTGCAACAGTTGCCATTCGGCACGGGAGTACGTGGGATTCTTCCGTGGGGTGTGTGGGTTCGTCCTGTCATCTCTTCACCTTTGCACCAACAAAACTTTCTTCTTCAAAATACAAGCATTATGAAGGAGTAACACATAAAAGAATATGTATGTTTCAGACAACAGAAGAAACTTCTGAAAGTCCTTCCGGAGCCTGAGAGCCATTCTGCCCGTGATAATGACATATTCCTGTCTGATGACAAATCGGAAGTAGATTCCATGTTGAGAGAGAAGGTTTGTGTGTATATGTGCCATAGCTGATGCTTCCCAGTATTACTGAAATAAAAGTACATTGAATGATCTGTATTCCACCGAATCTGCCCCACGTCAACTAATAAACCTATGGCAGGGTAAAAGAAGAGAATTTATCACTGTTCCTTTGTTCATCATAATGACAAAGGAATCAAAGAACAGAGAGCTGTTTTCTCCTTAGGCTTTGTAAGAGGGTGATACGTTCTCTTCTCTTACCCTGCCATAGATTAATTAGTTGATGTGGGGCAGAATTGGTGGAACCCAGAATGATTGAATGTCATCCAGATAGCCTTGAGTTTGCAAGCTTTTTGCTTGTGACTTGTCAGTATTGTAGTCTTAACAGTCTTTATTTTGTTCCAATTTTATTGTTTTGTGACTTATGTTTATACCATATTTCGTTTTGATCCAGGGGACAACTAGTATGGAAGTACGTGATGCCATTTATGTGACTATGGAACTGCTTTCTAACTGGGGAAATCCAGTAAACGTGGGCCTGAGTGAGGTGGAATTCTTTGATTTATGCAACGAAAAGATATTTGTGTCTCCTCATGATGTGGACATTCGAAATGCTGACAACCCAGGGGATTTGTGCTGCTTGGTCAACAAGAACTTAAACGTAAGACATCTTAGTCCTGGATGTGACAATTTCTTGTTATAATAATTCTTTAATATTCCATCACTAGGATTTTGTTTAGAAACATGATTGCATTTTGAACCTGACTTGCATAACAACTATATGATAATTCAAAAAAGTGCACGTATTAGTTGTTTTTAACAAATTCAGCTTTCTTGTCCAAGATGTTGGTATTTGGTTATAATTTTGTTTTAGGACAGAATTTGATTAATTTGCCTGACAATTAACTGAGCAACTGGAAGGCGGCAGCTTTAACTCTGCCTCCTTTCATATTAATTCTTCGGTGTCGTCTTGGATGGAAGAACACATTCAGTTTCTAAAGTACTGTAATATAATCATAGGATCTGTAGAACAAGATCACAAAACTTTAAGGACCGGGAATTTCACATTTTTACAGTATGTCTGCTGATAAACTTAAGTAATTCTTGTGATCTGAAGGTACTGGAGCTTCACTGCTAACTTCTTCCAGACACTTAATATGAATTTAAGTAAATTTAAGAAGGAAACATGCTTATTTTCTCCTGTCCCCTTGTTATCCTTTAACCTAGGGAAGGATCATAGAAGAATAACAACGTGTAGGCAGGTAGTTCTGAACAAAGGATTACAAAAAAAAATGTGTGACATGATAAAAGAAAAGTATTTAATGGCTCATCTGTGAGATAGTAAGATGAGGAGACACGAAGTGCTTATGTATTAAAGACAGTGGACAAAAGACAAGAACTGGAATGAAATCCTGATGCTAGCGAAGAGATTAGCCATAGCCCTTCATACAGCTATCATTTCATTTGTGCTGCACATTCACTGTATGCCCTTTGTCTCATGGGCTTTCAGAGCTAGGATTCTAGTAAAAATTACTATGATTTTAGCGGATGAGGATACTATATGACTTAGTCTATCAAAAAACATAAATTCTAACTTACTTCATGCTAGCGATACTTTTCTGCTTGCGGGATGAATGAGAATAGAGGACAAATATGCAGTATTTTGAAATTTAGTTGAAACTCGGTATGGAGTATTACTTGAAGACAAATATTTTCACTTGCAACATCTTTCTTACCATCTCCTGAAATTTGTAGTTTGGGTGTCATAAATAGCCATTCTCCTTTATAGGCCGTGCTCTCTGGCAGATGACACTCGGCAGTTGTAGTAGTGACTCTCAGACTTTCTAGATAATTATAAATTATGTAGTAATATATTCATTAATCCATTATAAACCTGTTATCCTCAGCATTTCTCATATATTTATATGTCCCATTATTCTTTAGTAATGAGGTTTTATATTTCATTGATTAATATATTTCTTTGATTTGTGACACCGTAGTTTCCTCTCTTGAAGCTGGAAAGTTAGTGCATCAGAGAAGGTGCAATCTGGACAGAGAATATGGCCTTAGAATGTGATGACTGAAGTGCAGACCCCTGCAGGAATCAAAACAGCATTTTCAGTTTGTATATGTTTCAGATCACACAGGAAAGCTTTTGGGTGTATTAGAAAAACCAACCAATTAATGAATCTCCAAGCAACTATTATTTTCAACAGAACGAAAACTAACATAAAAACTTACTTTGTGGAAAACTGACTTTACCACGGTTCAGACACTTTCATCGTTGATCATTTAGGTGTATATTTGTCTTTGAGAACAGACATACTCTTCCTGAAAATCAGGGATTTTGTTTATTTATTAGTTTATTTATTACCCTTGCAGACTTTTAAGAAGAACATTTAAATTTCGTCCTCCCTTGTGCTTCGTGATGTGCTGTAAAAGAAAAAAAAAATCCTAGCAGAACATCAGGTGCTCTTAACTAAGGAAATAGTGCCTCATGGGATAAAATGTTTAACAAGACCTAGATTAGGCATTCCACTGAAACTGTTTTCTGTAAACCTTTTTGATTCTTGTATGCATACATAGGTCTCTTAAACCTCAGAACAAGGACAGGTAACTGTAGTTCCAGAAATATTTAACAAAGCGATTTCTTCACAACGGTGAACCCTCAGACCCACGTCATTCCTCTTTGCAGTGCTCAAGCCTTTGTTTACTCTCCATCAGGTATACCTTCAGCACCTACACAAAGCAGCCTCGGGCCAGTCTCCCACAAAATCTGAGACCAAAGTTTCCCACACTCACTTTTTTCACCTTGATCCAGTTCAGATGTAATTCCTACTCCTGACATACCAGGTTCACCCTGGTGGTTCAAAGAACTTTTGGGCTAGATTTTTCAGTGCTAGTTGCAAAGACTCCAGACTTGAGTACATCATGTGAAGGCAAAGACATCACCATCACTCCTAGTGATTAAAAAATGAGTCTCCTCCTCAGTCTCGTGAGTTTTGAAATGGATTCACCAAGGTGCCTTCAATTTCTGGTGTCACATCTATGACATGCTGACAGAGACTGTACCACCTGTGAGTTTGTGTATCCTCAGTCCTAAGCAGTAACTTCCACTGATAAACAGAATGATCTGTAGAGCTGTCTCTCAGTCGAGACACAATACTCGGCCTGGCTCTGATGTGCCTTCTATTGTTTGGAGGATGATGTGCAACTTTACAGAGAGACTAGGGAGAAGCACGAACAGGTCTCTCCAGAATCCATTTTGGTGCTGAATCTGGTGCCCTCTGTGAAGGCACCTCTGGCGCTATCTCAATACGCGCCAGAACCTATTGCTTTCTTAGGGCATCAGGTCCCACGCTGACAGGTCTGGAGATGGATCAGTCATCAGCTGTTGCCTGCTGATAGGAAATGATTTTTAATCGTTGTTCGTAGCATCACTTGAGTAATGTGATCTAGCTTGGAAGTTGATCCTGGAGTTGGGCTCACACTGGTTTGAGGGCTATCCTTTATTTCGTTAATGTTGAGAGCCTTCTTTCTTTTTTTCGTATAGAGTGCCTGTCAGGCACTCTTATGGCTGTTTGTGCCCAAAACTGACATTCAAAGCAACAACAGCTTTTTGAGAGGCCTCTGAGGCAGAGACATCATGAACCAGAAGAGCTTGGAACACATAGATGACCACTCTGAGAAGTGGATCTATGCTTGATGCCTTCAAACAGACTGGCAGGGCTTTGTCCTCACCATCATTAGGCACACAGCTAAAGTACTTGATAGGAAAGTTTTGTAGTTACTGCCTTCAGGAAAACCTGAAAGTCTCACTTCAAAGTGAAAGGATATGGAAAAATACTGACTTTGTGTACCTACTGTGTGACTATATGTACTGTGTATCCTTGGAAATAGAGAGCTAATTTATTGGCTAAACTCAGATCACTGAAACATTGTCTGCATCTATGTTTGCTTTGTGCCCTCGTTTATTGCTGTTTTGGGGTAACATTTCGACATCAAGTATATTAATGTTCAGCATTTTGGTTTTGAAACTTTACTCCTTGCTTCTTCCTGAGCTACCTACCACACGTGCTTTTCCTCTGTTTCTGAACATATAGAGGTAGCAGTTCTGAACAATGTCCAGAATTAGGCGTTCTTTGGTACTTCAAAATGTCTTGGTTGTTATTTGTCTGTAAAACTCATGTTGGGAGTTTCTGTGATGTCTTAGAAAATTTCTTAGAAAATTTCGAGTTTAGGGTCCTATATATAGCTCTAAGGAATAGATCTGCAAAGCCTGATTAAAATAGAGGCAGTGAAATAAAATTCTGTTAAGATTCCCCTCTTAGAGGGCAAAACAGAAGTGTAAGCACTTTAAGAAATCGTAAAATGATTATAGACTGTCTGTTGTGCTCGGTGATCCCCTCCAGTGCCTGCAAAGCTGATTAATTTGATTAAAATAAACTGGGCTTGCTTTGACCCTGCAGTTACAAAGCATGGCAGACTGCCTGTCATTTGTGAGCGTGCAGATGTCTTACTGGGACAGCAAGCAGCTGACCTTTATCTAATTGTCAGGTTGTTGTGAGCTGTCTTACAGGCAGGAGGGTCGGATTTACTGTTTGGAAATGAGGTTAAGGTTTTGCTCTTAATGTAGTAGATTTTATTAAATGGTTACTTTTCTAATCGAGGTATATTTTTCTGTGGGGTGGTGAGTCAATTAAAATATGCCGCTTTAGGAGAAAGAGTATTAGTGACAGTCTGCTTGTACGTGTTTTTAGACCGCGAAGGAAAGCTTCCTTTGGATGTGCCCTTTCCATCCGCCTGTCCAACTTTACTTTGTTATCCGCAATCCCACCCGATCATGTGACTTTGGTATATCCAAGATCAAGATTTGGAATTACAACCCAACAACTCCCTGTGTAAGTAGTCTTTTCTCAACTCCTCTGTATGTATGCTGTACTTTGCCTAGGGGAAACTCAGTTTGATCTTCTTTCCAAAAGTATGAAATCAAAGCAGATACCATTTTCTCTAATAAAATAGGGAGCTGGGAGGGGTGAAAATTGCTTTTGTCTTAACTGTAAGCGGTAGCAGTGTAAGCATTAACGTTTTCATAGGCACAATTAACATTTTCTTTCAAAGCTATTAAAGATCTCTAAAGACGTACTAAAAGGCTTGCATGTTCTGTCAGTTAATCTTTTACTGTGGTGAGAAATAATGATGCAAAGGTAAGTGCATTTTCATATTCAGGACTTTCAGTTCTTTTATCACAGGATAAGTAAATATGTGTTTAAATATGTGTTTTCTCATGTACATAGGTATAAATAGGCTGACTGTTACTTGATTTTTGGTTTTGCCGCTTTAATTAGAAACTATACTAATTGTGTGTTCATAATAAAACAAGTAATTTAGTGTTACAAGAGAGACATCATGGCAGATGGTCTCTTTGTGTGTTTGAATGTCACCATGGAAATTATTCTTGTTTGTACGCTGCAATGTTAAGAAAAAAATCCCAGGTACTGGATCAAAGAAGATTTGCTGTCCTGGATTATAAATAAGAGGCTTTATTCCTCTGGTTTTGCTCTCATCCATGTTCTTATATAAGCACATATGGTAATATATACATAGGGAAAGGGCCATGGAAGGGACAACTCAAACAAATTTACTACAACATGATTTATATTTATTTTCTGGAATTTTAGTAGCTTTTTCTATTAAAGTGTGGGCTACAGAATGTTCCATCATCATTAGAGAGTGCAAAGGGGACCACTGTTTTTGGAGGTAATAGTATGATTTGTTACCCAACATATTGAATATAATGCAGGAAATACGCATAAATGTATTTCTCTGTTTCAAGGCACTGCTTTTTTTAATAAACTGCTATAAGGCAAGCTGTAAAATCCATTAGGAGTATAATCCCATGGATTTTGGTGGCAGTGCAGCCATCCACAATGGCTAAAGAAATGTCCTGTTATGCTTAAGATGAGAGAATAATACAAAGCAGTTCTGCCTAATTCTGTAATTTGACACGAGGAAGTTTTGTCTGAGAAATATAAAACCCAGCAATACAATTAGCTAACAATTTTATTCCTGGTAATGTAAATCCAAAGCCAGATTTCTGTCTCATTTTTGGTAATCATTCTAACCTCCTCCTTTCCCTCAAAACTCACGTAAGTGAGAGATGCCTTCATACTTTTTCAAAAAACAGACAAAAAAATTAATTCAGGCCAGTCCTTTTGCATTGTTGAAAATGTTTGCGTTCTAGAACTTGAGTCTGGAAGTGGAAAAATATGTCTGAAGGAAGCTGTAAAAGTCAAATTACATCATTGTCATAGATTCCTTGATGCAGTGTGTTACAAGGAAGGTCCCAGAGAACACTTCATCTTGCCTTTATTTATTTCAGATGAGGTCTGTGAAAAAGGAGGTCATTTTTAGTCTGCAAGAACAGATAAAGTGTACGTGACGGCACCCAGTTCTTTTCAAGTTTGTCTGAAATATTCAGGCATTTTGTAAATAATTGCTACAACCTTGAAATTGCATCATTACTTGATACTATTAGAACTCTTTTCATAAGATCCAATATAATGTCTCTTGTATGTCTTCACAAATCTGTGAATGGATTTAACGCGTAAAGGCATGAATGTCTTAGTTGCCCTCCAAGTGGATCATTTTCACCTTCAAGTGATTGCCCATATGTGTGTTCCTCCTGTGTGTATATTCATGTCCACTCTCTTGAGTTGGAGATTTTTTTTCAGTGCTGGACTGCCACTTGGGGGCATTGTCTGTAAGGGTGCAGCAGCTTTTGTCCAGCAGGGTTAGGTTTATAGAAGAACTTAGTTCTTTTAGTTCTTGACTTCTTTTCTGTGTCTTCTTCTTTGTCAGTCTTCTGTGAGAAGTCGGGCAGATGCAACTTCAAGTCCTCTGTCCACGTGTAATTCGCAGAAAAGCGCCTCGGGTTTTAAGCTCTGTCCTTTGTGCACAAATATCAGTGAAATAGCCAGAAATACCATTCCTGTTGCACGATTGGAAAACACTATTCCAGCAGGCACTGTGAAGGCTGAAGGGGCAAGCTGGGAAGGAACATCAAGAGCAACTGTAGAACTATTTTCCCAAAATCTCTCTTTTTAATGTTGCTGACGTTAGTCTTACCTACTTGCTTGTTCTGAGACATTGTGCTATTCTAATCACTCTTCTGGCAGGAAAACAACCTGCCTTGGGTGAAGTATTGACTGTTTGTTTACGGGGTGCTTCTTGATGGAATTTGTCATGAGGAAGGCATTGCTCCAACCTCCTCCTTCTCGAGGAGAGTTAAGCAGTGGTACTGGGAGAAGCTAACCATTCTGCCCATCTTTCCCACCACATCTGGTCACTAAGCAACTGGAAGCTCAGAAGGGGCGGGAATGAAAAAGAGCAGTTCTTAGTCTTGTGTCTGCACGTGTTTGTTCTTGGAGTCCCTGAGATCTGTTCATATATTTCCTGCTTGAGCCTCAGGCTGCTTAGAATTTTGGTGCAAGTAGCTCTGTTACTGGTTCTTCATGAATAGACGGATCTTCTGTGCTATCAGCTGTTATTAGTGCCTGCCCCAGTTCAGTCTGTCTCTGTTGTCCTAGAAATATCTGCAGCTTTGGTTGGTTCATCTTGATAGAGTCCAGATACCACTTCTGGGGAAGTTTCCTATCATACCTATCCCAGACACTCCAAACCTTCAGAGTTAGGAATTAATTTCCCACTGACTGGAATAGTAATTTTGAAGTGACTGGCCTTTTTCTGTGCTTGACTGTCCCTCTTTCAGGAAGAATAAGCTCCACCATCTCATTTTGTAACGTTTTCTCTGTCTACCTGTCCTCATCCAGTACTGGTAGGTGGAGTGGGATTCATTTAAAAACATTTTGTTCTTAAGAGGTTGGTGATTTTGATTTTAAAAAAATTAAATTGAAAAATACTTTTCAAAATGTACCTGTGTATATTTCTGTGATTTCATGCAGTTTATATCTGTTCCCTGGTACAAACACAAACCTAAGATTTGAGTATTCATAACAGCAGTAAAGATTCGAATATTATGTAGAAATGTTGCAGCTATCCCAAATTAAGCTGTCTCTAGAGTCTCTAGACTCTTCCAGAGTCTCTAACACTAACAGTCCAGACATACAAAGATTCCAAAACTGACATTACTAGGGCATCTTTATAGTCTTGTTCTTCCCCGTTATAATTCCAGGCAAAGCCATGTAGTTAGTTTTTAATATATTCAATTATTAAAGTGTTTTGATCCCCAGTTAGATTAATCTAGCAGTGTCCTTGTTCAAGGGGAAAAAATACCATGTTTTATGGCCAAATGCATCAGTACAGACATATAACGCTTTATGATACTGTGGGAGTAACACAGGCAGCCATGACATAATGGCCAATTAAACTGGCTTTACAGCTGTTCTCTGAGAAGTTAGTGAAGGTTATCTTTTTCTATCAGGAATGTGTCTTGCATTCCTACACCTACTCCCCTCCCTCAACTGTAGCTTTCTTGTTACGCCTGCATCTTCTGGTTTTCCCCCTGTGTGGGTCCATATTACTTTTTTCACCTCATCCATGTTGTTATTTGGAAATTGGGAGAATGGAACTATAAAGACTTGTAAGCTGTAAAGAGTGCATGCAAGAGTGAAGAACCGGAGACGCTTGTACTTGAAGGTGAAGGAGTAACTGGTTTAGGCTTGGAGCAGAGGAAAATTTAAATCGGTATTCAAGGAGAACTGACATCCAGGAGGTGAGCAAGAGGGATGAAACTGAAACTTCTTACCTTCATGAAAAGCTTCTCAGTTTCTATGAAAATAAGGAAAGAACAGAGAATCTTTAAAGACTCCACATGATGGACACGTTACTGAAATTTAGAGGGCAGAAAAGAGATGGATTTTGTCTCATCTTCTATGTTTTCTTTGAAGATACCAGTATTTTTGTGAAGAGGGAGGAAAGGTTAGATGGAAATGATAAAGAGAATAGAAAGAACATTGGTTCCAACTTCAATGGAATGAAAAAATCAGGTTTTAGTGGGTACTGCAAAAAAGGAGAACATAGAGATAAAGTTGTGAGTGGCAGAGTTGTGTCTGAGATAAAGGCCTTCTATTTAAAAGGCTGGGTAAGTGTTGGAATAAGCCATCAAGGCAGATCATTTGAAAATTATTAAAAACAGTTTTCTTCACAGTGGTATAGGATATTTTACTTTCTTCAACGGAAAGAGATGGACCAGATGATTTTTTTTTTTTTTAATGTCCTTTTCAGTCCCGTATTTCTATAACTCTTTATAACTCTTTTTAACTCCAGTGGCTTTGATCTGTGTCGTTGTTTGCTTTGGAACACGTAGTGAAAGTGGTGAATCTTAAAGATGCTGAAGCAAAATGTGCTTCTGGAATTTATATCCTGACCAAATATAATTATACTTAGTCTAGGCTTCTTCACTCAAGCTTTTCTAAATAGTTAAGCCTTGTCAGCCAAAATGGTTCATAGTGGTGTCTAGCAGGGTTTTTAGTCATTTTCAATAAAATCTTAACTATTCCACAGTATTTTTCAGTCGTTTGAGCTTTTGATTAAAAAGTGGTCAAAAGCATGTTACTGATCCGGGTTTTAATAATTTTCATCTGTTTATTGATTGTCTTCAAATGTCAGAGTTCCAGAACAGTGATATCAAATGCTTGAACAGCTTAACTGAAATCTTCGTACTTTTATTTTTGTAGGACCTTAATGTTGGAGCAAAGAAGGTGAAGTTATACATTGATGAGAACCTTGTATTTGATGGTGAATTAGAGAGAGCCTCTGGAGATCCCCTCGCTGACCATAGCACTACGATTGACCTTACAGATCACAAGCAAGACACCTCTGCATATTCTTCAAATGAAAGGAAAGAGGTAAATGCACCTGCAGTCACAGAGAGGAAAGCAGACTTGCGTTTTAAATGCTTACAGTCAAACAGTACCTCACTAAACTGGAAACCTCTGACAGAAGAAAATCTTCTTGAGCATAAGATGAATTCTGTTAGCTTTATGAAGAAAAACTTGTCTGAGTTAGAGGGTGATCTAAAAGTGTTACCGCCTCAAATTTGTACAAAAGATGACAAAGAGAATGCAACAGTACAAGCAGTTACAGAGCATGTTCAATGTGATGATGAACTGACTTTGAGCGAGCAAATGGAAAAACTAACAGGAAGAAAATTGTCTGATTCTGCCGGTGCAATTCCTTCTTGGTTACAGTCATCTTCCCAAGTAACAGAGAATAATCAAGATACTTCCAGTAAGCAGAAGCCTCCCTGGCTTGCTACAGAACATTGTTTAGGCTTGAGATTTCAAACACGGTCAGATGGAATAATGAAAAACTTTTCAGATCTGACTAATGAGGATGTCAGATATCAGAGAAATGAACTGGGAAGATCCAGTAGTAGAAATGCACATGGAGATGAGAGATCACAACTGCTAACCAGAAAGGATGGTGATGTGGGCTTGGACATTTCTGAGCAACTTTCCAACAAAACCTGCTGCAACTTACAGTACCCTACAAGTGGAAGGAGAAGTGTCAGATGTGTAAAAAAGGCGGCATTAAACACTATAAATCTTGGAGAAGATGATGCCACTCTCAAAGGTAAGAGCTCACAATAGCAACCTTAGTGCAAGAGCTGACATGTTCTCCATTTTGCAGGAGCACAGAATCATTTGGGTGGGAAGGGATGTCTCGAGATTCCTGGAGGTGTAGACAGGGGAATTTTAGTTTTGGTATTTGCAGTATTCAGTTTTTCTTATTCATACTATGGCAGTGCTCAGAGCCTGTCTCCTTGTTCTACACCTGATGTGAAATGCTCTTTTTTCTGAAAAATTAACATTCTGAGTTAGTGTTTTAAAATTTATTTGGAGAAGATGGAAGACTAAATTTCAGTAAAATATATTCTAAAAATCAAGGGTCCTTCAGACAGCAAATGTTTGCTAATATCAGTGAAAATCTGCAAAAAGATAAAGAAGAGTGTAACCCTCAAGGTAGTGAGTACATTTAAAGAGTTTAGTTGTGTAGTAGGTTTGTGTCTTTCTCAGTGAGAATATGTGCTGAATATATTTATTCAGAGTGAATGGAAAACTGCTCTTACTTTCCCTTCTCTGCTCATGACATTACATACCTCTTCCAAACCTCTCCCTCGGACATCTCTGCTTATTTATGAAGAGGTTTTTTGTCATCCTTCTCCAAACCTTTTTTAGTTTGCCTGGATCCTGTTGGAGGTGGAGGATCCAGATTTGCGCAGTTGTGTTCTGCCTCTGGCAGTAGCCAGCACTGTGTCACCAGGGAAGAGTATGAGAGTTGGGCAAGTTCTGAAGTTCCTACTCTCTCCAAACCTCTGGCAATCTATGGTTAAGAAATTTTCTGGGTGTGGGGTAATATTTTTGTGCTTAACAGCTGTAAATAATGCAAGAATAGAATTTCTTACCCACAAGTTCTACTTTGTCTCACTTTAACAAACTTTTTTTGGATTTCCATTGCTCAGGATATATTTTTGATCTCCCCTTTTCAGTTTCAAGCCATATGTCACCCTGACTCTTTTTTTTGAACCCTTTCTGCCCCTTCTTTGGCATTCTGTAATTCTTCAGCATTCAATGACTTGTCTCAAATGAAGAGAGTCTGGCGGAACAAGGATAACAAGGCCCAGAGAATTGGAAGAAGAGGTTACAAAAATGCAAATTGAAATTTGGGGATTGACTTAGCATCAGAACAATTTACATGAAAGTGTAGCTTGCTGTATATTTTATTGGGGTGTGGTGTTTACATTAAAGTTATGGCCATAAGGGACAGGAAATATGCCTAAATGCGGGAATTCCAGTTCAAATTCTACAGCAGGTACTGCCTGATTTTTTTTTTCAGACATGGGTGAGGCAAATGGTTCTTTCTAAACTTAGAACGTCTGAAATTTTCTTTCTCTGCCCCTCTGTGGAGAAAACAGCAATTTTATAAGTATATCTGAAATTATACCTCAAAGAAGAAAAAAGTACAGAAGTAGTTGGCATAACTGCCATCTTCCCTTCACCCACCCACTCACTGCAGCCCGTTTGCTGTTTCACACATTTTACAGTATCTGTGTTAGATTAAGAACTTGTCAACATTATGGAAACTGTAAATAAATCCCACCTTAGTAATTTCTCCTCAGTTGCAAAAATGGTAACAATTTAGGAATTTTAATGTAAGCTGTAAGATGAGGGTTATCATGGTTCTAATTATAATGTCGTCTAGGTTTGCTCAGAGCAGGTTTTGTCATCTGGTGCTTAAAATTCCCAATATGTGTTTGTCCTTGGGAAAATTGCATGCCATCGAGCCGCATTTGTTCCCTCTGTACTGTACTGCGCAGGGTAAAGCCATCTTCAAAGTGGAGCTGAGTGAGCATTAACAACAGGGAAACAGTTTTAAGCGTTTCCCTAAGAGTGGTGAATTTTAATTGGTACGGGGCTGGGGGAGCTGCAGTTTCCCAGTAGCAGTGTGTGACAAAGGGGAGGCTACACAACCTCGTAAACAATGTCACGGCACGCCTTTGGTCACTAAATGAAGAATAACGAGAACAACAGTAATTAGAAGTAGCACGTACATGCATACTTGGCTCAAGTTAATGTTGCTATAAAAACATACAATTTTTCTTCGATAACTGGTTTAACGCGCAAAGGAAATGATGGAAGTATGCTGATCAAATTTGCAAATAACATATAATTTGGGATATTATGAGTTAAGAAGATTGAAGAACTGCACAAAAAGATGAACTTGAGGACTGGAGTAATAGCAATGGAATGCCATTCAGTAGTACTGCTTGCAGGGTCATTTGGGGACTAATAACAAAAAATTAAGTTGTAAGCTGAGTAATCATCAATTGCAAATGACTGAGGAAGAGAAGGATCTTGGTTGAGTAGTTGATAACAGATTAACTATGAAATGCTAGTGTGGCGCAGGCGTGATTACAGCAATGCACTCCAAGGAGGCATTTCTGTTCGTTAGGGAAATGTTAATATTTTAACACAGGCACTCGTGAGACGTCAGTTGGAAAACTGCAGTTCTGATCATCCATTTTCAGGAAGGCTGATTACAAAGTGGAACAGATACAGAAGAGAGCTTTTAGAATGATTTGGGAAATGAAACGTGTGATTGCAGCATGGAAATATGATTGCTGTTTATAACTGCAGGGAGTAAAAATGAGATTAACGTAACACAGGGAGAAGAAAGGTGCGTTTTTTTCAAGCTAGTGCTGCCCCAAAATGTAGTTTGTGAAGGTTTTGGGAGGAATTGTAGGGTGTGTCTTGCCATCAGAAGCAGGACAAGGGACTTGGTGATTCAAGAGACCCCTCCTAAACCTTCAGGGGAGTGCGCGTTTGAGGTGTCGTTATTTCTGGACTCTGGGATAGCATCCATTGTACAATCCTCTCAGGCATGCTCTCAGGCTGGGAATGCGTCTGTAACATCTGCAACTGGGATCTTTATCTACATGCAGAGTTTATTGTTCACATGGCTCCAATAAAAATAGTAAATTTTCAATCCTAAAAAAATTCCAAACCCTGTAAGCCTTCAGCCATTGAGCTCCGCTTTTGAGCCATTCTCAGCTCTCCTTTCAGAGCTCCGCTTCTCCTGCTGTCGCTCCGTAATGCAGCTAACAAACCTGTTCACCTCCCATTGAAAATCACTCCTATTCAACTGCTGTAGAAGTGCTTCAGAGTTGTAATCTCTGTGCTGCTTGAAGTACTTAACATTAAAAAAAGCTTAAAAAAAAGAGGAAAAACGCTCCAAAACAAGGAAAGCCAATGGATGTCAAATACTCTTCTGTATATGCGAATCCTGAAATTTTCAAGCTTTGACACGTTAAGGTGGTAAATATATATACAGTCTCTTCTTCAGGTGAATTGTGAGGCTCTGGGAAGTTCTGTTTGGGATGACCCACCCCATGAGTATCCTTACAGACAATGGTTTGAACAAGAAAGTGACTTACAAATGACTGATGTTCTCTGAAATATATGCCTTTGATTCCTTGGGTGGGGGGGAGTGGCCAGGTTGGTCTCCAGCCTTTCATTCTGGAAGACCTCCTCTTTCAGGTAGCTTCCCATCTGCTTTAAAATCCTTATTTTTATCTCACTTGTCCCCAGTGTAAATGATTACTGACCATAGATAGATTAGGAACATTGCCTCTTTCCCAGTGTTTCCAAAACCAAAGTTACAAGTTAGTCTTGAGCGGTCTTTTGGGAAGATGGTATTTTGCATTTTACAACAATTGGCATTTATTCTTCATAACCATTTGTTTTAGTATCCACTCAAGGACATTGTACAGAAGTAAAATGTAGCCCATGGGCCTGTAATTGTTTAGTACTCCGCTTGCTTTTCTTCATTTGTTTGAAGAAAATACATAAGTGACAACTTTATTGAAAATCTTTGTTATTATCTGCTCTTAATTGTTTTGAGATGGAAATGAAGCAGCTCCTCAGTGCAGTCACGAGGAGAGCATGCTTTGCTCCCACTGTGCCCCTCTCATTTGTGGCCCCCACTGCGTTCCCGTTACTTAGTCACTGTCCCCCTTCTACATCTCACACTTGCTGAAAAGTGAGAAAAATGTTTGGACGTTACCTGCATAGAATGCAGCGCTCACCTCATCCTCCTCGTCTGCGCAACCTCCTTTTCTCATCACTTTTTTGCTTTATATGCACATGGCTGGTTTTGACAGGAAGCACTCACTTTTCTCTGTAATGCTTTAGAAACTTAACCAGTTCAGCCATTTCCGACTGTATGAAAGATCTTCTGCAGAAGTGCAGGCGGATGATTTAAACTATTGTGACAGCCACACAATAAGTATCACTGGGCAAAATCCCAATTTCTGTAAGTGTTGAGTCAAGAATTTGCAGTCTCAAACTTGGTTGCCTTTTTGTATCTTGGCATGTGCTCTGCTCTTCAGTATTTAAAAGTGTTTGGGTTTGTTATGTCTAAATGGGGGAGGGAAATTAGGACATGTAGCCCTCATAATAGAGAGGCAATATAAAAGTGCTAGTGTAACAGAATTTCACGAATATGACCAGCATAATTCTGGAAAGTCCTTGTTGTAGTGGTTTGCTTCCAGTCCTGTTTATGCATTAAATGCCGATGTAATGTTGTTTTCAGATGAAGACTTTTCTATCAAGGACATAGCAACCTCTAGATCAAAGCGGCACAATGAACAAGAAGATACTCTGCAGGAGTCGTGGAACTCCTTGGTAAAGTTTAATTTTTCCCATCGTGGCCGAATTTCTAACATGGATTTTCAAGGGGATATCTTCGATGAGTTTCTCCATCAACAGAAAATCAGCCGGCCTGGAGAATATCAGCAGATGAGAAAAGAGGGAGCACAAACACTACCAAAACGGCAAGAAGAAGAAAATGCTGTGGAGGCACATGATGGAAATGATTTTAAAATTCCAGTTTTACCTTACGGGCAGCACTTAGTGATCGACATTCGAACAACATGGGGAGACAGACATTATGTTGGTCTGAATGGAATTGAAGTTTTCAGTTCTAAAGGAGAGCCTGTTCAGATTTCAAAAATAACAGCTGAACCACCTGATATAAATATATTACCAGCTTATGGCAACGATCCCAGAGTAATAACCAACCTAATTGATGGGGTAAATCGGACGCAGGATGATATGCATCTCTGGCTAGCACCATTTACCCCTGGAAAACCTCACTTTATCTTTATTGACTTTGTGAATTCCTGTCAAGTAGCTCTGATTAGGATTTGGAATTATAATAAATCTCGCATGCACTCTTTCAGAGGTGTGAAAGACATTATAATGGTGTTAGATGAACAATGCATCTTTAAAGGAGAAATTGCGAAAGCTTCAGGAACTTTGTCTGGAGGTATGCCATCATTTCTTATTTTCTTTGTGGAAACAACAGTACAATACAAACAAATACATTTAGCTTGTTTTCTGTCACTTTCCGCTTCAAAGCAAGCTGGCACTTTGTGTAATATTTAGTCCTTTTAATTTCATAACATCATGCAAAACCCACTAATGCATTCTTCAATGATACCGTGAATTTTAGTAGCAGATAGAGCTAATCTCTATTATTAACGATGTCTTGGCAACAGGACCATATTTCAACAGCATGAAATAGTCACTAGACATTTAAAAGTTGCAGAATTTTACTTGTTTTCACAGATACGATATTTTGGACAAGGTGATAGAGAAGCTTTTTTCCCATTTTTTTTTTCATATGTATTTGAAATATGACTGAGTTCTCTAGGTTTTTCTGCTGTGCAGTATGAGTTTGAGAATGATCATACTAATTATATCAGTAGTCAGTATCAATTTACCATATATTATCTTTAAACACTACTGCAAATTAATGTAAAGAAGGACCAAGAATATTTTTTATTGCTCTATATATTTTGTGTGGTTTCTCCATTTATTTCTGTATGTTGCCTTCAGCTCCAGAGCACTTCGGGGATACTATATTGTTCACTACGGATGATGACATTCTTGAAGCTATATGCTGCTATGATGAGACATATGATGGAGAAATGGAAAATGCCAGCTCCTTGGGATACGAGGAGGAGCTAAAGAGGCCAACAACTGCTGACAGAGAGGGAGATGAAAGACCTTTTACACAAGCGGGGTTAAGAACAGAGGATCAAAAGGTAGGGGCCTCTGTTCCGAACTCTCTAGAAACGTGTTTCAGAAACATGACATGGAAGTAGTAGACACTGATTTCCATGATGGAGTAAAGCTCTGTAGAAGAACTAATACAGCTGTCTGTCTATTTTGAAGATTATTTTGGGTTTTTTTTTCACCATTATGCCATTTTTTTAAGCCCAAAAGGTCCTCCACATTTTGGTTTCCCTGATTAATTAATAAGACTACAAGGAAGACTATACTGGGTTGTTTATTTTTTTCTTTACTTGGACAGAGATTAGAGGGCGTTCTTCTTGATTTAGGCATTTCTGAAGGTTTATGCCACTGTGGGTGATTTTTACCATACAGTTATTGATGTAATGAGTAGCTGTGCTCCCTGTCGCTCCAAACCAAAGATTTTTCTGTATTTCCCACACAGAATACATTCTTGCTTGTTTCTCCCTCCACAAATTAAGTATCTTAGGTGAAAAGAATCTCCCCCTCTCAGCCCTCCCCTTATTTTTTCCTCTTTCCTTTTTTGACTAGCATCTCCACAGGTCCGTGTGCGTTTTGCAGCATAAGAATGTCCCTTTACTATTGCATACAGTACGTATTTTACCACTTGGAGGAAGGCTGTGTTTCCAAGCACTGGAGTCCTGCCTCATACCATTTTAGCACAACAGTCCAGTGTCTAAGCAAAGATCCTGCAAGATTTTCTGCTCAAGATGTTGTGGGGCAGTCTTTGACCTGATTCCCATTAAATCTTCTACGTTCATAGAATGTTCGTGAGCACCTGCTGCTGCTTCAATGAGGCTATCTTTTTCTAGGGGACACACTCTTAGTTGTAAGTCTGTGAGGAGATCCAAAGCTGAATTAATCCACATTCCAGCTGGTTCAGCTAAAGTGTTCCCGGTGGTATATGGTTCCCAATGAGCTTTCCTGTCCTGTCTTGTCCTCTTCTCTTGGTGGCCTATAAGACAAAATGAAATGTCATGACATTGGAATTTGATCTCACTGAGATCTCTCATGAGTCAGTGACTCTAACCAGTGCTAGTTAACACTGCCAGTAGTAATTTTGGTTCCCTCTTTGTTTGTGGTATTTTAAACTGTTCAGACACCTTCTGCAGTGCAGGATTTCATGAACACAAACTGAAGTTCACCTTTGTTTTCTTGATCACTTGTTTATTGTGAGCATTCACCAGGACCTCGTCCATTGCGGAAGCCTAGACCTGGACTGTCCCCTCACCCAGAGCCTTTGCCTTTTATTTTGCTGTTCTGCTGTGATGCTCTTCATACTCCTTTTCTAACTCTGAAACATGCTGTATCAGCAATGGAATAACAAAAGCTATTGTGACTGAGCCATTGATCTCCCTGTCGTTCTGTATTTGCTGTTACCATCAGGATTTTGTAGATGTGTGCTTACACTATCAGAGTGAAATAGATCTACGAGATGACTTGTCTTCCCCAGCATAACCTTGTCATTCAGACTAGTATTGGGTTTAAACAGTCTCCACCTGTTGATCATTCACCCTTTTTTCCTGTAGCGTGTTCAGTGGATGAAAAAGTGTTTTACTGCACTGATGTCAGAACTTTTCAAAAGCTCTTACAGAAGTGTCTTGCTTTCTTGTCAGTGTTACCCGCGGTCGTCTGTCTTTCCCATGAATTCAGTAATCCTTAAGATGTCAACTTTTATAGCAGGTCTGACCTGTAACTAGTGTACTTGACCCAACTCTGACTGTGGCCGATAGTGGATGCCCAGGGAGAATGTAAGAACAGAGCGAACGTGCAGTGGTGTTTCATCTGAAACACTCATCCAGCCCTTTGAAATTTGTCTCACAAGGACTTTTGACTTAACATTTGCGTTTATTATCTGCCATGGATTTTTGTGGTGTTAATTCATCCACTAGCTGTTTGAACCCATGTGCCCTTTTGCAACGTACAGTGCTTAGTGCTGAGTTTCCTGCCTTAACTTGCATAGCTCAAAGAACCTCTTTCTTTTTGTCTCTAGGTTCATTTAATGTCCCCTAGTTTTTGTGTTGGAAAAAACTAAACAGTGTTCCCCATTCCCTTCTTCAAGCCACTCGAGATTTATGCCCCTCTGTTGCAATCTCTTCTAAATCTCTCTTTTCCAGAACAGTTTTAATTATTCTTTAATTATTCTCTTTTAATTATTCCTCATGTGGAAGGTGCTCTACAGTATGGGCAAGCATAGAGTGTGGTAATACTTTCTACTTCGTATTGCTTTTCCAGTAACTCCTCTACTATGGTGGTATTTCATTCTAGCCATAAGGATCTAAGAACACAGGCAGGATCTAAGAACACAGGTAGGACAACATTCAGAAGTAGAAGTAGTTGAAATAGTAGAAAATCAGACCATACCTGAAAGAAAAGGTAGTGGGCACCAGTGGAATGAAGGAGGCAGAGGGAGAGAAGAGGTGATAAGGTGGCTCGGTACGGGTGGTTTACGGCCTGCAAGGGAGGGCATTATTCTGCATTCTATAAAACCAGTAGCTTTATTGCATCTGTGGGTTTTGATATTCAGTAGAGCTGCAAACTTCAATTCCCGGGCCGGTCTTTTAAATTTGTTCTGGGGAAAAAGCATCAGACAACAAAGATAGAGTCACTGTTTTGTGAGAAAGGTACGCCCAATAGGAGGGTTTTTTCGTCCTTCTGTAGGTTATCTGTTTGTGTTTATTTCAGTGCACAGTTCGTGTTCAGTTTCACCTCCTTAATTATCACAAGGACACTTGCCACTACGTGAAGTATATTGCAGTCTGGGAACATACGCATATAAGATCCAGGATGTCAGGGGTTATGCTGCAGAGATCTAATATAACAGTAGGAGAAAAGTGTTGACAAGCCTTTTATATATATATATATTTTTTTTTTTTTTAAGGCACAATATAGGTCTACTTGATGTATTCTGGATGACAGGAAGTCTACTTGTAATGATGAATGAAACTATAGAGAATGTCTGGACTTCTAATTTCCTATTTGGCTTTTTGACTACAAATGAGGATTGAGCTGATGTTTTTGTAGAACTACTTATAATAACGCCATGATTTCATTCTAATCTGCTATTATTTTGTTTGGAGCCGAATACTGTATCTATAAAGTTAGGATTTTTTTCCTGGTGTAGCATTTTTACATTTACCTACAGTAAACATAATCATGCTTACTCAATGAAATTAAATCTATCTTCAACCTTTTGCACGATCAGCAGATTTTATCATCTGCTCATTCACTTTCTGGTTTGCCATGTTGAATAGCACAGCCTATTATTAATTAGCGTTGTCAAAGAACAAATGCAAGATTTTGGACAAGTTTGCTTGTTTGTTCTGCCCCTTGATTCTTGAGAAGAAATAGTGGTGGCACTTTCTGAGGTCTTAACTTCCTCCCACGCTTCTTTTGTCTGCAACATATTTGCGCTACGTTGCAAATACAGCATAGTACCATTAGCTAATGGCAGTCTGCAAGTAAAGAAGACTGACTTCAGAATTTCAACTTCTTTGAGAATAGGTAGCGCACATTAGGGAGTCTCCCATTTAATACTCGTTTATGCACTAACAAAAAAAACCCCCTTATAGTCTTGAATTTCTAGTGACCCATATGATCTACATTTTGGAGCATGTTTTCCATTATTTGCAGGACAACCTGGGTGGTGTGGCAAAGGGGAGATTAATGTACAAAAGGCTGGACATCAAAAAGAACCAAACAAAAAACCAAAATAGACAAAAAAAAAACACCAAAAAACCCCCACTTAGTAAATAATATGTCTGTAATGTATACATGATAAGCATGTTCATTGCAACTGTTGGTTTACTTTTCAGGTTCAAGAGCCAGACCCTCTCTCTGAATGTATACCCAAGGAATCGGGAATATTTACTGGAAAATGTAAGTTCTTGCATTTACTTCTTGCCTAAACACCCTCCCCCTAACGTGTTCTCAAGGAGGATCTGATTTGTCAGAGCTGTACAGAACTTTGTGACAGATGTCAGGTCTAGAATAAAGAAGAGTAATTGAATTTTTAAGGCCGAAGCTTTGTTTACTATGGCATTTAGAACATGGTATTGTAACAGTTGGCTTTTAATCTCAGAAAAATTACACTAGACATTTTCCCAGTCCCTGAATGGGATTTGTAATAGCTGTGTCCATTACCCAGTAATTCTCTCCCAATCCCAGGTACTTATGTAGACTAAGTTTCTCAAATCAGATTGACAATTGAAACCCTAAAGTAAAGCCAGAGCAGAATGTTACATCCATACTTAAAGTCCCTGATTTCTTTATCATGTACAAAACCAACTCTCTGTGGGCCTTTAAATTATTTTCCAGAGAGCTTCTGGATGGCCCAGAAGTTTCAGTATCAGCTCCTGTTCCTTTGACCAGCACAAGGGAAGTTGGATTCTTGCGCCTGGCATAAAGTCTTTAGCAACCTGTGCTGTGCTTTCTGAAAATCCACGCAATGCTGTGGCTTATTCAGCCACGTATCTGTGAACTATACCTACAATCTGTCATCTGTGACCTATGAACTATATCTACATCTATGAACTTTATGAGCATGTCTACTGTCAGTTCATATCTGTGAACTGAAGATGCCTTTCCCTCCTCCCATTTTGCAAAGTGGGTGAAAAATACAGTGAGGGTGTTGTTCAGAGCTCAGCAGATGCAGTCTGTCACACTGACAAGATACTGTTAACCAGCTGATGGGCTAACTTATCTCTGCCAGACAAAGATGTCCTCATTCCCATGAGTTCTTGCGCGGAAAGAGCTGGAGAAAGCTAATTGCATTTAAGGGAGGCCATGTTCCATGGCAAGGAAGGGTATTTTTTCCCTGTATTTGACACTTGTGAGACCGTATTTGGAGTACGGTGTAAAGTAAGGAGCTCCCTAGGACAAGAAGAAAATTGATACCCTGATGTGAGTCCAGTGGAGGAGGGTGACCAAAATGGTCAGACAGCTGGAGTACCTGACATGCAAGAAAAGCATGGGAGATCTGGGTTGCTATGTTCATCCTGGAGAAGAGAAGAAGAAGGGAAGATCTTCTGCTCTCTATAGCTGTCGGGAGGGCATAGAGAGGACAGATCCAGGCTGTTCTCGGGGACATGCATAGGGTTGGGTTGAGTGGCAGCAGAAACAACAAGGTAGAAGACAAGAATTTCCAAGTAGATATTAGGAAATCTTTTTCACCCTGAGGGCTGTCAAACACTGGAATAGAGGTCGAGAGAGGTTTTAAAATCTACCAGCCTTGGAGACATTCAAAATTCCACTGGATAAGCTCCTGATAGACCTGATCTAATGGACATGCTCTGAGCTTGGAGTTGGACTAGAGACCTCCAGAGGTCCCCGTCTACCCTACAGCACTCTGAGACTCTATGAAAGCATTGGCATGCTGATGTGAATATTAAACATTGTGTGGATAGCTGCTTTACCCTATATTTTCCCTTTTGTTTGAAAATATACTGTGGTTTTGCCTGAGAACTCTAGCGTGCTTATGCACTAAGCAAGTTTAGTCTTAGCAATGGCCTTGGGAATAGCATCTAATATCAATATAGCCATATCTCCAAACTTGTCAGCTAATAAAACTATTTATTTCTTAGTGTCCTTGCACATGCTAAAGAGATCTTTCACCCAAGTGAATTTATGTGTATATCAAGACTTAGTCTCGTGTAAATTGCTACGGCTATTTATAGGTAATTGGACTGGATAGCTTAATAGCTTCAATGCTTGTTTGTTTTACAGGGCATCTTGACTACTGGTGCTTCTTAAGACATTATTCAGCCTGATCATTCCTGGGCTTCTGTAATGTGTGAAATGAAAAATATTTTTAATTTACAGTGATGGATTTTTATGGAACCTGATCAGATTGGAATATTACCTGTTATATCTGTATATGCTGTTTATATTTTTTCAGTAAGGCAGGAAACAGGTGGATCTGAAGATACATGTACAATCTGTTGTCTGCCCAGCTTTTCTTTCCTATTTATTTTCCAGAGATGCAGACTAATCAACATTGCTGCTTTTCACTAATGCTGTCCCATTAAAATACTTCCGTGTGTCCAGTTCTGACATGAAGATAGTAACTTAAACACATTAGTAAAGCAAATTTGGGTTTTGGTTTAACTATAAGTTGGTGTTCTCTAACAATTTATGGATTTATACGAGTCTGTATAGTCATTTAGCTGGCAAGAGATGATAGATAGACTTGAGACTAATAGGTCTTCTCTGTCTCTGCGTCATCACAAAATCTGTCATGTAACTGCTTACCGGAATCGTTGAATTACTGTCCGTTTACAGTCTATGTAACGAGACACTTGATAACGTGCTTGGTCAGGGGTTGTACAGTTGCAAGTGAAGAGGATGGTGGTAGCCCACTGAAGGGGTCTAACACAGATTTGCAGAAGATACGCTGCTGTTCTGTGGAGGTAGGCATGCAGACCAGGAAGTAGCTGAATACAGCATATAAAGTTATTTAACCTAAACCAAATACACATTCTGCTGATTGCTGGGGCTTGCATGCATGCATATATTGGCTCCTTCCTTCAAACTAGTAAGTATGGATATGGATGTATGTGTATTCTTTTATACAGGCCTGCAACTGAATTTCACCGTGACGTGGGGAGACTCTCATTACCTCGGACTGACAGGACTTGAAGTGATAGGAAAGGATGGTCACGCATTAAAACTAAGTACAGAACAGATTTCTGCTTCACCCCAAGATTTAAATGATCTTCCAGAGTATACAGGAGATTCCAGAACTTTAGAAAAGTAAGTAGCAAAAGAACTGGATTGTCCAAGCATTTTCTGCAGGGCTCTTTTTTTTTTTTTTTTTTTTGCCTTTGTGCCTGTTGTTTCCACCAACAGTTTTGGAGTTCACCAATTTTAGATTCATTTTACATCAGACTTTATAAAGTGACAGAATTATATAAACCTTTATTATGTTCACACATGTTAATGCCAACATGATTTTCGTACCATCACTGCTCATTCTTGGATTTCACACGCTACCCAGGAACAGCTTGTTGTAGAAACATGAATGAGGTGTTTCCAAAAGATGCTGTTTGAGTTAGGAGATGATAATATGCTAAGGACTTTCCAGGCAGAAATGTGGGAGTTCGGTAGCATCTGTCTATGCATATGCAGTGATATTCATGCAGGATTTCTGGATAATTTCAACGAAAATTTTCAAGTTAGCAGAGGGGGAGAATGTATTAGGGAATTGCCAAATAGGTGGCATTCTTTTGGTAATTCTGCAGCTTTTTTTTGTCATTCTGATGAAGTTTTACTTACTGACAAGTATGCTTCCTCAAATTAACTTGTATGTCCTAAATGGTACCAGCGTAGAAATCGTAGCCTGTAGGTCTGGAGAGGACTTAGCATTTGGTTGTTATTGAAGCTGCATCGTGTTGTTTCTGAGTCATATGTCCATTTTAAAGGGTATCTTCAGTTGTAATCCTGTTCTCTGGCATGTTTATTGTCTGTGAATAGGTTTATGAATTAGGACTTCTCTTTTCAAAGTCTTTGTTGAGACTTCCTTTAGAATCTTGTGTTCATCTGTATGTACGCTAACTCTGTTCTTTGTAATTTCTGCTAATCTGACTAATACACTTGTCAAGCTTGCTTATATATAATTCCTCAGTTCTTCTGCCTAGTTGTATGAAAATCTCTTCTGTAGGCATCAAGATCTAAGATATCTTCCCATGAGTTCCCCTGTGATGAAGAGATTCTGGTTGTGGAGTCTCTCCATGATCCGCCATGATGACCCAGACACAAAGAGTTCATTTAGCCTTTCTGTTGGTGTCTTATCTTCTCTGAATGCTCCTTTTACAGCCTAGTCATCTGTTGATCCTACAGAATTTCTGGCAGGCTTTCTGCTCCTGATATATCTGAGGAATTTTATTTATGGTACCTTTTCCTTGCTAGTCTTCATACTCTTTTTGGCCTGTGCATCCACATTTAGTCTTTCAGAGTTTATGATCCTATCAATTTAGGGTTTTTCGATCATGAATTTTGTTGAAAGATGGCTTGTAATAACTTTCTTTATCCTGCCACTGAGCCAGGCTGGCTTTGATTTTTCAAGTTCTCCCTCTTTCTAACATCTTTCTTAGTAAGCACAATACATTTGTTCTGTGCTTCCAGTATGATATCCCTAAGTATTCTCGCTGCTGCGTGTCATGATTTTATTTTGTTGCTCCTTTCTTTTTTGATGTACTTCATAATTTTTGCTTAAGAACCTTCTTGGGCACAAGAAATAGGGGCTTTTTTTGGCTTTTGATATTTCATGTTGTATTTGAGTACACTACAGTGCTCTTCAACTGTAGCATTTGGAATAGGTCCTGTGTATTATTCAGGACCAAATCAAGGATTATATCTTCTGTCATGGGCTACCTAATCGGTTCCTCTGTGAAACAGTCATTATTCAAATCTTTTTCTTTAAGGAACTGCCAAGTCTGGCACTCATTCTTCCATTAAACTTTTAAATAAATAGTAAGTACAGAGGGCAGTGTACCAAAGTAATTATAGTGGACAATTAGTTCATATTCTTCTCTACTCCATTTTGTATGCTGTAGTTTGTGGTAGAAGAATATAAAGTCAGGATGAGGAAATAATGGAATTCTCTTTATCTAGTCAGCCTCAAGTCTGTGCTCTGATGAAAAGACTTTGTCGTGCTGGTAGAAAGCTTTATGAAAAAGGAGGAATGTGCCTGACTGCATGAAGAAGGATGTGAACAAACTCTGCTTCTTCTCTGGGTTATCCAGCTGCCATCCAGCTCCTTGTCGGATTCAGTATAGTTGCGTTGGCATAGTAACACGCTGCCGAGTGCCAGATACGCTAGTTTAGGCATGGCACTATATTAATAAGTTATAACGTGTCTGGGCCTTAGAGTTTTGCCTTTGGCCATTTTGGTACAAAGGGTAGTTCAGCTTTCCTGTGCTGGCCCCTGTTCACACAGGGAAAACCTAAGGATTTTTCTGGCTTTCTTCTTAGGTACCTCCTTCAGTTTTACCCAACTAAAGGAAATACTGTGGTTTTTTTTTCTCCCCCTGCTGTCTTTAATTGAACAATTGTGTATCATTTTTGAGGTTTACTGTGCTTTTTAATTGCATGCACATGGGCACAGTAAGCCCTGGAAGCTGGAAGTGGCATACAGAAAAAAAATTAACACCTAGTAAAGTACCTGATTTTCCTGAGAAAAGCAAGCTTTCCCTTTTTTGCAGCTAATGGATTTTTCTCTTTCTAGGTTAATAGATGGGACTAATATCACAGTAGAGGATGACCATATGTGGCTTATTCCCTTCTCTTTTGGAGAAGATCATCTGCTCACAATCCATTTTGATAAAATTGAAAGTATTGCAGGGCTTCGCTTCTGGAACTATAATAAATCTCCGGAGGATACCTATAGAGGGGTAAGTAAAAGAAAAGGAGCACTGCCAGCAAAAATATACAGCAGTGCATTGGAAAATTGGTGCTGTGATGAATGAATATAGCTGCCTAAATGGAACACCATAAATCTTTCTAGATTGTCTGAGTCTGAATTTTGTGGCAGGTATAATGCATTTCTGTCTCCACAAACAGCAAATATTGAAAAAAAGCCAGAAATGTTTTAAAGAAATCTTCACAGCTGATTTTTCTAAGAGACACATACAATAGCACATATTATTTTCAAGATATATGATTCTGAAGTGGTATCCTCTCAGTATGTAGGCCTACCAAATGGTTCTTTGTTTCCTGAAACACAAGGAATGATAGAACAAGGACACTTCTCCTACTGAAATTCTGTTTAGGTAAGTTACGGAAGGCCAGTCAATCAATACTACCTTTTCCAAGAAACAAGAAGAGTCTCTAGAACTGTAACATTTATCAGGGAAAGTTGACATCTTCAGTTTGGCTACAGTAGTTTAGCTAAAATTGTATAACATACCTCCTCTCTTCTTTTTCCAGATAGTTATATTTTTTTTCATACTGAATTCTTGGAATTGCCTGGCAATCGACACCTGTTGGAGATCATGTTAGGTCTTGCTGGCACTCTGAGTTTGGCTGTCCCTCGTTTCCCTGTTTTCTCTCAGAAGCTGTACATGCACTTGTAGTGATAATGAAGAAGCAGTAGCTGTTCACTGCACAGAAAATTTATGAATCCATTTGTTTCCAGATCTTCTCTTTCACATACAGCTGTTGCATTCTTGATGTTCAAACTCAGTCAGTAGATAACAAGAAACATGTTGGTATGTATTAAACTAGAGAGAGATGGGACAAAAAGGATCAGCAAAGTTCTGGAAAAAAAAATCTGAAATTGAAGTTGGAGGCATGGATCCTTCATAGGACTGGGCAAGATAGTGGTGAAACTTGCAGAACTGCTTCTCTGTGTAAATTTACCTTCCAGGAATTGCTTTAACATGAACACTGCATAAATAGGAGGTGTTCCCTGTCCACAACAGAGCCCTGTCATCTTTTAATATCAGTTGTGTGCCAAAGACTCCCAGGGGGGCAGAGCGCGAGATCTTTCATTTAAGCGACAGTTGGTCTAGAGATTTTAATATATGGCATCCGATTTTGTAATATATTGCATTAACCCAACATGTTTGACACACGAGAGGGTTCAGGAGCATGTTGAGCTTACCACCTAAACACAACCCCTGTATAACAACTAGGGGTTTTTATTGATACACTTCCGCGTAAGGAAAGGACTCTTCCCTGTGAGAGTGCTCTGGGACAGTATGCAGTGATGGGAGACTTTCAAAACTAAATTTGACAAGGCCCAGAGCAACTTGATTTTGCTTTGCAAGCTGCTTTGCTCTGAGAAGGAGCTGTTATTGGAGACAACCTAAATCTTTCTATGATTCTATGTACAAAATACAATATGACATGGTGATGAGTGTTTTTCACTACCGTTGTAAGCAGCCCGAGCTTCTCCAAGGCAGAGCAGGGGAGAAAAGTTTGAACATGAATATTCATACCAAATCAACTCCTTGTATATATGTCTCAGTTATTAAAGGAAGGAAAGAAATAGCGAGATCTCTAAAATGGAATTTGGACTTTGAAGGCCAAACCAAGAAAGAAGGGAAGGTATATTTTCACAGTTTATTTTGCTAGGTAGAAAAAAGAGGCGAGTCTGATAAAGTATGCATGCAGGTGGCACACCTGTAAGTCCCATAACAGTTAGTGGGTACGATTTAAATGAGGAGTTCACGCCTGCAGTCCTGTAAAAGGATGAAATAAATTATTTGGAAAACTGAAGATGCAGGGTATCTGCTGGGTCACAGTAAAGAGGCTTTAGACTGTAAACCCAGGGCATCGCAACATCTGTCTCCTGAAGTATTGCTGTTCCTTCGAAGAAACAGTCCCCGGGTATGAGATGTAATGATTTGCTAGGCAGCTGTAGACTGGTGGATTCTATTCACAGCTTTCATATGAGAGGGTAATGGCAATGAAATGTCAAAGTGAAGGCTTGTGTGCTATTTCCAGCTCTAAGAAAAATTACCTTGTGAAAGCTTTGTTATGCGATTTGTAAAATGCTATGTGTGATGGTTGAGTGCCTTCTCAGATGATGAAAATTACTTAGAAATGAGGGCTGTAAAGGGCACATAAATATAAGCAGCTGTGGTATAATAGGTAAGATTTCATCTCTCAGTCTCCAGACTTCCCATTCAATATGTGTTTCCTAAACTAAAGTGTATTTCAGTGGGTTTTCACTTCCTCTCCTTAGCCTGGCAGACTGATTCAGCTGGAAAGGGGTATGCAGAAGAGTTGCTGATATGAAAAGGATATTTCCTTTCTTTGCTCCCAAGCGTATTAAAGATGAAACCGGACATAGTTCTTTCTCCATACTTGGCACTCATACAAATATTCCCGCCTAATTAATTTTCCTGCTGTTGGGAAATGAACTGAGCACCTCCTCCAGTCTAGTACAACACCCGAGATTTTCAAATCAAGAAATATTTGCGTACAAAAAAAAAATATCTTCCTGAAAATTACTTGCTTTTGGGATATTGCATGTGTAACTTACTAAAATTCTGATTGAATAAAAAATCGTTTACAAATACGAGAACTGTTACGAATATCAGGTCACTGATAATACATATATACAGGCTTTGCAGAAAACTCTGAATGTTTTTAAGTTCTTCTCAGATAGACACCCGAAAGGGGAATTTTAACTGTAAATCCTGCATGTATATTTTAATAGAAATCCTAATAATGAAAATTAAGTATTTGCATACAAAACTAAGTTAACCTCAAATTATTGTATATACATCAGTAAGTATAAAATCCAAAAATTAGAAAACTGACTCCCATTACCTTTAGACTAAATTGTCTTTTGCTAGGTAATGAATCTATTTTGGTTCAGTCCATTAATCAGCAAGCTTTAATCATAGTGCCAGTTATAAGGCCATCTTGTTATGTTTTACAGGTATTATTCCTTCTTAACCAGTAGTTAGTGAAAGACTCGGTGCAATAAATGCTGCTTGTGATTAACATTAAGTTATATTTAACATATTTCGGGGCAAGAAGCGGGGATAATTGTTGCTGCATGATTGGATTGTTATGTGACTGGGATCATGCGCACAACACCAGATGGTGCTACTGGGGGAGGGTGAAGGGGCCAGGACTCCTGCATCATCTGAATAAGTATGCCTGAATTATTTAGTTTAATCTTCAGCGATTGTGTACAACGTGCATGCATCTGGGATGTGGACAAGGCTCAATTATTTCTGCCCGATACAGGTGCCTCTTCTTTATTCATATGCCCTTAGGTTACATACAGTGCTGCTTGGTATATGGGTTGGTGTGATCCTGGAAAAGTCCAAGTGCCTCCAGCCACAAAGATAAATAAAACTGGTGAAATACAGGCTCTCTATAAATGCAACAGGCACGAAAGAGTCTGCTCTCGAGAGAGCACCAGGCTATGTGATTTCTTAAAGGGTAGCTTCAGCCGGGGCTGAGCAGTTGGGCCTGATCTAGCAGTGCATTCGGGTGCATGATGACTCTAACTGTCTCCTCAAATCACCTTTGCGACATACGCTGACGTGAAAGCCGAGTCTCTCCATTCTGTCGGTATGTGTATGTATTGCTGCAGGCTCAGGAATCATAGAATCATTTAGGTTGGAAAAAACCTTTAAGATCATCGTGTGCAACTGTGCACCTGACACTGCCAAGTCCACCACTAAACCATATCCCTCAGCGCCACTTCTACACTGCATCTTTTAAATATCTCCAGGGATGGTGACTCAGCCACTTCCCTGGGCAGCCTGTTCCAGTGCTCGACAACCCTTTCAGTGAAGAAAGGAAGCTTCAGTTTGCTGAGATCTAGTGAGATGCAGTAATTGAAGGATCTCTTCAATACTTCTTTTTTTTTTCCCCCCCAAATCCTCACCTCTCCCGTCCCCATCAATGTCAGCTATGATGCTCTGAATTGTACACTACGGGTTGCAACTGGTATCTGTGGGTTTAGGCTTTCTTTTGCCGAAGAGTGTCATACTATAGAGGAATGAAAAAATACAAAAAATTATTGAAATTGTTTCAACCTCTGAAGTGAATGCAATTGTTTTGGATCTATTTTATTTTATGTAATGTAGTGTCGTGTCATGTAATCTTACCTTATGTTATTTTAAACAAGGCTAAGGTAGTCCATGTGTTGCTGGATGGTCACAGCATCTCCCCGCCAGAGGGCTTCCTTATCCGCAAGGGACCAGGCAACTGCCATTTTGACTTTGCCCAAGAAATTATCTTTCTGGACTATCTGCAGCCTCAGCTGAGTAATAAAGCACAAAGGAGGTAAAGTAAGATGTTTTTGCTATCTGAACCACACAGTTTCTCTTAACTGTTTAGCATCCTTTTCATATTCTCTGTTGAAGCCAATTGTATGAGGCACCTGGATGAAAATATGAAGCAATGAGAGCAAAACGTTTCATTGGGTTTTAATTATATTCTGTCAAACAGGTTTTATTGAGATGAGAGGATAGTCTAGTCCATAATCACAGGTGGAGGGGTTGGGTGGTGGTGTTTGTGGAGGCTTAGTTCTTTGATTTTGTTCTTTTCTGAATGAGCCAAAGGTACCTGAAGAAGCTGTTTTGTCTTGGGTTTTTTGGCAGGACTGGTTCAAAGAGAATGGAACAAGCTAGTATGGACTACGAAGCACCGTTAATGCCATGTGGTTGTATCCTTCTCTGTCATTTTCTTACTTGTCATATAGAATATCTTAGCGTTATATACTACGGTTATAAGTCCTGAGCTTTTTGAATCCAACAATTTCTGGTGCTTCAAGAAATTAACAAGATACCAAGAATATGAGAAAGGCTTCCATTAAGTATGAATTAAGAATAAATAAATGGAACATAATTTATGAATGTGTGACCAGTTGTCAGATACTCTGAAAAGTTTTTCTCCTGCCTTTTATAATCCATCCACGCTGGAGCTAGAGGTCTGTTAGCGCAGTATCCAACCGGCCTATCAAACTTGGAAGTAGTCTTTGTATTTTTGCATATCTTTGAATGTTTGTCTCATATCTTTATTAAGGCTGACCAGAACTGTGTAATATCTTTGCCATTTTTCTTAATGTTGTTGGCTTTTTAAGCTTAAGTTTTCCTAGATAAGCACAGCCTTTTGTGATAATACTTACTGTCATGCCATCCATCTATTTGACAGGCCTTTTAATTCAATTAGGCTATTCTAACCAAGTTTGGAGACAATGAGCTCTCAGCAATACTAATTTCTGCTGGTTTCACGAAAATCAACGTCTGGGTAGAGCAAAGAGATACACACGAGTGCTCCATTAGGGAAATGGACAGCACAGACTCCATCATTACGTTTTCTGCCATTCAGTTTAGGGGCATGTTTGCTGACTGGTTACCACCCGTATAATTCACAACCAGGCAAAGGCATATTCAAGAAACACAAGAAGACAGTAAAGGCTCCAAACAGGAGCTGTGGTGTTAATAAGTTGCAGTGTACAAGAAGGTAAGACACACAGTAAAAAAATTCTGTAGTTCTTCATCTGATGGAAGAACGTATGTGAACGTACATATATATGTGAACATGTATACATGTAAACATATGTATAGATAGACTTTTACCTAGTTGTGCTACCTGCAGATGTTCATTTGTGTGTATTATCAGTCATAGAAAATGCAGACTGCTTGTCTTAGAATAAAATAGTTTATTCAGAGAGGTTTAAGACATAGTGAAGTCAGAAGGGAAAACCAGATCTTTTTTCACTCTCCTAAACTGCAAATAAGAGTGTCTGTCATCGAGATGTGGACTGCACAATAATTTTTGAAACTGCAAATTAAATAGTCAGGACAAAGTATCAGTATCAAAATTTTCCTTAATTCCTTTTTGCTTTTTAGTTGTTTTCCAGTTTCAGCTTCTGACAAGTTGGGGTGATCCATACTACATTGGTTTGAATGGACTTGAGTTGTTTAATGAACACGGAGACCAAATCTTACTAACTGAGAACAGTATCCTTCTGCTGACCAAGCGCCTCTATCCCTTCCAGATGCACAGTTTGCTCCCTGGCAAATTATCACATGGCATCACTTGCTACTTCTTCCAAATTGCCGGTTTATCCCATGCGGTTACACTGCTTGTATTTCTCTATATTTGCATGGTGATACTTGTTTCCATATGTTTTAATGTATTCTGTATGCTTTCCGAACATTTCTTCTCTGAATGGGATGCACCAGCAAAGCAGGACAAGGTTAGAGAAGGGAAGGCTTAAGAAGGATATGATATTTTTTGCTATCAACATTTATTTCCTCTATAGCATGAAAGGACCAGAAAGTTTGATGAGCTATAAATTCATAAGAAAAGGTTGAGCTCAGTACTTTGTTATGGAATCTTTCATTGTGCCACAGGAAAGAAATTTTTCATAAATCTTGTTCTGGAGCCTTAGGCTATTCTAGACACCCGATCCAGTCGAGAAGATAAGGGCTGAGACTGAATTTGATTCAATGTTCCCTGGGTAACCAACAGAGGGAATGAAGGACGTGTTTGAAAGATTCATGGTCATCAGGGTTACACCTCAGTGCTCAGTGTATCAGCTGAAGTCTCTTAAGAGCTGAAAGCTTCATACCCCAACGTATAATTCATGTAGTTCAGGCACGTGGAAGAAATGGGGTTTCTTAGCCAACTAGATTAAAAGCATGGTAGCTGCATGAATTGTATGCCTCTAAGGATCCTCGTTGCCTAATAAATAGAGGATACAATGAAAAAGGTAATAAAGGCTCTTTCCTGAGAGCTATTTTTATTTGTATCATGTGTGATGCATGATGAACTTGAAACATCAGTAACGCAGAAGAAGCATTTTGAAATTGAAAAGTGATAACAGATTGTTTTTAAGAACAGGGAAACTTTAACTTAGCTTTTAAGTGGCATGTCTTTACAGTACAGTGCAATGCCAGGTAAAGATGCCTAAGCTCATTTTGAGTGATCACCTGATCCTGCCTGTGCAGTAGTGCTGCTTTGGGTATATCAGGATCCCCAAAAGAGCACATTTGTCTTAGTGCAGTACTAAATGTGATAATTCAATACTGAGTCTGGAGCAAGGTTTTCTTAAACGGTTGAGGCATTGCTGTGTTATTCCTTAAATTCTTTATAAATACTTACAGACTCGGGCCTTTTAGAGAGCACGACAAGGGGAATTTAGTGTCCCTCCAACTGGATTGCTAGGGATTTATAGTTCTGAAGACAGTGCCATCCATCCAAATTTCTTTGTATGTCTTTAACATACATATGGTTTTAACGTAAACGTTCTCTCACAGAAAATCTGGTTACCTAGAAAGCCTGTTCAGTAGAAGGTTTAATCTTTCCATCTCAAAGAACTGAAAGAAGGCCTTCTTAGACAGTTACTGATTTTTATCACAAACCTTGAGGAACTCAAGCAAAACCTGGTCTGACTGATGACTACCTCCTGCAAGGATACTTTTCTTGAGATCTGTTTCATATGAGGACTTTTCACAAGTTTGTGCTAAAAACATGTGGCTTTGTCACAAAAAAAGCTGGGAAGTGCCTGTTCCTGTTAAGGGAACTTTATCAATGAAGTCATAAATAAATATTTGAAAATAAATTAAATGCAGCTAGTTAATTTGTTCCTATTTAAAAAATAATTTTGAATGCCAGAATCTGTAAGGGTTGTCCTGCTTTTAAAAATGTACTCCCAAATTCCTCAGCTACCTATATGAAGTACTTGGAGTATTTTTAAGTTTTACTACTGTAGTGGATCCCATGAGTGGTACACTCTTGCTCTGGGAGAGCAAGCGTGAACTTTTAAATACAGTGTTTCTGAAATGTCTTCTTTGGTTATTTACGCTTAAAGTTTTTTTTCAGATATTGCTGCTTTTCCAGATAGTGTCAACATTTTAGAAGATGTATCTGGAGACATCCGAACTCCAGACAAACTCATTGACAGAGTAAATGACACAACCGATGGCAGACATATGTGGCTTGCACCAGTTCTTCCTGGTTTGGTACATTTTCCCTTTTCATTCCATTTTAGTGATGTGCATAGATGTAGCTGGAAGCATACATAATTTTAAGGTAACTTTGATATTAGTAAATGATGCTAAATCACTGCCTTTTAGAAGGAGTTCTTTTTATTCCATTTGCTCGTCACTGCACAGATCGCAGCAGCATAGATTTCCCAGGTTTGTAATCTTCTGTCTCCATGGTGCAACAGCAGAAGGATTTCCAAGGCTAGCGTAGAAGTTTTTTTCAGTTACTATGATAAGGATACTGACAAAGGAATTTAATACGTGTGTTTTGTGCAATAAACACCTCTCAAATGGGAGCCGACTGGGATCTTAAATTCATTTTTACAAAAAGCAATGAATGTTGCTCCAGCAGTGAGAATTTTTTAATCTCATTATTCGTGTTGAATTCAAATTCATAAATTAGAGATGACAGACTTAGTATTTCATGTCCTAAGGCCCCAAGTGATCCAGCCCTTCTAGAAGCCCCATGTTTAAATTATGGGGTATCGAGTATCTAGACAGGAAACGTAGATAAACTTAGATGAGTCCTGACTTTGTTTTGGGAGAGGACATTTTTTTATGGGCCCGTTATGGACATAATTAAAATGTATTTATTTCTTAGAAGAAGGTGGATTTCAAAAGTAACAAACTGTAAACCTGACATGCGATATCTTGTAGCTTACTGTGTTGGAAAAAGTCTTGCTCCATATGTTACAGTAACTAATTAGAATATTAAAGGCAAAGAATTAAGTCAATTTTGAAAATACTTCATATATCATTGTATACTGTAAAGCAGTGGGTATAATTAAGATAAAGCTTTTAAGTATACTTGGGAGTACTGACCACTTGCATTTCTTAGGGAAGTGGAAGGTCTGTGTAATGCTTGACGCTCCTACTGTGTAGATCCCACATCTTGAATCCTGGTAATTAATTTGGTGGGATGCTCAGATACCCATTATAACATCATGAACGAGTGATTTGACAACCATCTGAATTTGCTCATGTCCTTGTAAAAGACATGCTTGCAGAGGCTGCTTCATTTTGCCAAAAGGAAAATAACAGTATCTGGAGTTCTAACACAGATGCAAACACTGTTTCGTGGTGTTATGTCTGACACCAAAGTACTGTAGAAGAACATAAGATATTGGTATTAAAAGGGTAAATTGATAAAGTGTGATGTGCAGGAGGGAAGAGTAATCAATTTAATGGTGCTTTCTGTCCTTAAACTGTAGCAAATTATACCTTTTCAAGATCCACATAGTACTTTTCTCTCTTCCATCTTCCATGGCATGGTTGTACAGCCAGGAAGTGCAACGGGATTAAGCAGTCAGCCTATTCATGACCATCCTCTGTAGTTGGGATGCTGAACCAAAGCTTCTCTATACTTAAATCCTCATTGCTAGGCTGCTTTGAAACTTGCCGCTTGCCTGGAAAGCTGATTTAACTCTTTGCTATATTGACAGATTCGAAAGCTTTAAGGAAATTTTATATTAAAGCCTTTCTTTTCCTTTCAAAATATCTCTTCCTTTCTAATTCCAAAAGACTTTTTGTCTCTTGCATATTTATTACTAATGTAAGTACAATTTAAATTCTTTGTTCCCTTTTTACTGATTGTCATTTTATTTGTTTGGATGTATTTTCCATCAAATTTACCATTTGCTGTAAGACTAATTGCTATTGGAGACTATGCCCAAATTGTCTTCTGCAAAATCACAGATATAAACATTTCTATCGATCACATCTACCTTTCTTTGCTCAGTAAAAAAACCCCATAATGATTTAATACAACTAACAATATCTTCTCCAGTGCATCAAAGGATTAAAACTTCAGAGGATGTTAGAGCTGAAGCTTAAGATATTTTGGCCCAAAGTTGATATAGTAGCTCATAAAAGGAATAGAGATAGCATTAACTGTAACAGGCAAGATTGGTTACCTACAGCCTAATCTTTGGTCTTAACATCTTGACATTAATGTCACTGAAAGTAAAATGAACAGTACTCAAGCAATAACCGTTTAGCAAGCAGCTGGAGAATTTTCTTTATAGTCCTATTAGTGCACCTTACACAAAACTTGCAAAATTTCCGCGAGAGCTTTCAAAGTCGGGATACAGAAGAAATTTTAGCCTTGCAATGGAAAGGTGGATTCCATTTGTATTTGATCGGAATGGAATGGGACGGAACAGAACACCAGCTTGTCTTATCCTGAAGCACGTGTCTCTATTTGGTTGATGAAATACTCATTAAAAGTGTCTCTTGACTAGCAGTCCAGGATGACAAGCTCAGGTGTAGATGTCGTCTTCTGATGAGTTACACGTACATTTGAGAGGACAGCTCTGGGTTAGAGACAGCATCTGTGAATTATCAACAGACATGATAGCTGAACTTACATCCTTAGCATCAGTTATCTGTCCTCTAGCTAGATCTCTTTAAATACAGACCTGTTCTGTTGCAACGTGCATGAGAATTTCATTTCTTTGGGGAATTTGTGCTGTTAAATATAAATGAGTTTTCTTTTACAGGTGAATAGGGTATATGTCATTTTTGATGTACCTACTACTGTGTCAATGATCAAGTTATGGAATTATGCCAAAACACCTCAGAGAGGTGTGAAAGAATTTGGTGTAAGTAATTTTTGTGTGCATTTTGTATGTTCTGGTGAGTCAGCTTGCTTGATTTCTGTACTTATTCTTACAGTTTACTGGAGTGTGATTCCATATAATCTCAAAGGATGGGATTCATCTCACTTAGCTTTGCATTTAGTATTAAAATGACTAATCTGTGCCAGTCATCTGTCCTCCCTTTCTTGTCCAGGGAAAGAAGACTTTACCTGATTATTTTTCTTAGATAATTGTCTTAAGATAGGATAATGCTTTCCTTTCTCCAGTGACTATAGAGCAGGCCTGGAAGACTCATTTAAACTCCAAACCCCAGTTTTAGACAGCTGAAGTGAGGTGAGATTCATTAATTCCTAGATTTAAGAGTGATTCACTCCAGTTAATAGAATGGCAATTATGTAAAACACGAAATACATTTTTAATTACCTCCTTGAAAGCTGCATTAGAAGCATCGGCGAGAAGACAAAAGCTTGGAAAAAAGAATAATCAAACCCCAGCAGCCAATAGAAAGAAATGGAAGTTATAAGGAAGAAAAGTTAGACTAATGGCCAGACTTATGAAACAAATTGGGCAAAATGATTTCTAGTTAATTGAGAGAAACAACTGCTGAAAGCAATGCCTAATTTTTAGATGTTTTGTTTGTTTCTTGAATCTCTTTAGCTTCTGGTGGATGACTTGCTTGTCTACAATGGGATTCTGGATATGGTGAACCATGTAGTGTCGGGCATCCTGCCAACCTGTGATCCAGTGGTCCCGTATCATACCATTCTCTTCACAGATGATGAGAAGATTTGCCATCAGGAGAAGAGAACTGTTATTAGGTACGTGAGTGGATCTTGATTGGAAGAAAGAATCTTAGTTTTCAAAAAATGTTTTTACGTGACTAATGTCAGCAGTATGTTCATTGCTACAGAAAATTCCCTTCCAAAGCATACTCGGCCTCACTTAGTGAGAAATAATGAGTAGTTTTTTTGGATACTAGGACCAAATTACCAGCTTTATTCATAAGCATTTTTTAGCATTGACTGGGATTCATTACTCGTATTTACATATGTTTTAATGGAAGCTTATAGTAATAAACACAAAAGAAAGAAGTTAGGCTTCCTTGGAGAAAAAATGATAAATCCCAGTGATATTACACGGAAGGGAAAAAAGAAAGGAAGGTAATGAAAAAGAACCAAACACCAAAAGAAAAGAAGAGTCCTCTGATTTGGCACAGACACTAATTAAAGAACCAGAATTCTACCATTTTATAAATGTTCTAAAATAATAAACTTCTTAAATGAGAAATGAATTGCGTTCAGAGGAATGACACTTTGAAACCACTAAGTTGGCAATCTCACAGAAAATATGATGAAATGTGGTGAAAAATGCACTTACGTTTAGAAGGTCAGGACTGATAGGGTCTAAAAACAGTCCCTAGCAAGGAAAATAAAGATTAAAAGAATAATTTATTTTAGATGAGATTAAAAAGTGAAAAATCAAAAACTTAGAAATAAACACTATCTTATAGATTGCACTGCTAACAAATAGAATGTCTTGCACATACATCACTTGGTAAAAAAGGTGACAGTTTTGCGTTCAGAAACGGTGCATGATTTGTTCAGAAGAATATTCAAATATTTAGAAATAAGTAGAAGGAACATAAGCTGTCCCGATTAAGAACAGCAGTTCACGTTTGCCTATGGGGGTCGTTTACCTCTGTCTCTAAAGCATAAGCTGTTGGCCACTGTCAGATGGTGAAATAAATTATTATTGTTTGGATGTGTTCTGTTAGACTCATGTTTTTGTACAACTGGCTGTGTTGTCATGGTAAAATTTGGAGGTAAACAATTTTTCATGTGAAAAAGTTACTGAAATGAAAATGTCTTGAGGAAACACAAGTTTTGAGAAATTTTTCAGTGGGATATAAAAAGGAGATGAAAAAATGAACCTGTACTTTCATCAGCTTAACATCTTTCTATGAGTAAAGTTATTTTATTGCAAGCAGAGAAGCACCAGCTGTAATCATAGATCTTTTTTCACGTAACTTCCTTTGCACATATTTACAAGATATAGATCTTTTGATTTAGTTTTAAGAGGGGTATACTTCTGGGGTTATGCAAACTGCACTATCTGTTTTTCAGTCAAGAACATGCTGAGTCTCGTCTCTTCTAGACTTCTGTGCAGGTCTTTCTTCTTAGCCTGGTTTGCAACGTTCTTTTCCTTTTTTTCACTAAAATACAGGGTACTTCAGCAATGGAAGACAAATCCCTTACTACATGCTGGATAATATCCCTCCATTTTAAAAATGCTCTTGAGCTTTTATATATTGTTACTTTTGGTTTTGACCTGTTCTTTCACATGTTCAATATTTTATGAACCCTGAACTTGAGTCTGATATTGTCATCAATAGCATAAGTCCTGATTTACTTCAGTATTGGTTCTCTTGTTTCACTCTGACAGAGAGACATTACATTTTTCCTCCAAAAATAGAAACCTATTCTGTGCAGTATTTGTAGAGAGAAGAAAAATACACGTCTTATTTTCCAAAGGCATGGATGTTTTGTTTTAGTCTATGTGAAAGGGAGATGTTATTAGTGACATTTTCTTTAACGTTCAATTCAGCATGCTTTTTTTTTTGTAATTTGTTTAATTAAATTGAACTTTGAAGGTATTACTTCTTTCCCAAAAAGAAATGGTTAAAATTTTGCAGCAGCCTGCAAACAAAACTTGTCACAGTAGACAAATTTTGTTTAGTTTAGAAAATTTTCAGATAATACTATACCAACATCACAAAACAGTGTTAAGTTCCTTACAGGGATTTTTATGCCCTCTTTGTATAGCACTGATTTAAAATCTCACTTTGGTTAATGTGGTTCAAGCTCTGTAGGCAGGAAGGAAAATTGTAGAGTTAATATGATATTTATATTTGAATGTGTGCCTGAATGAATGCTACTAATTAAAACTGGCAAGAAATCAGTCAGGTGGATGCAGACAGAATGCCTTCACTTTCTAGACAGTCTCATAGAATGTGGCTGTGCTTCATAGTTTTGTTTTGCCTCCAGGACCTAAATAACTTAAGTGGTAACTTTTTCCATGACTCTCAAAACTTTCCACAGTGTTGATAATTTTGGCCGTTGTACTGATTTTAATCTTTTCAGCAATCACGTGGGAGATCAGGATGTACAAATGATGAACGAAAATGAGATTGTCACAAACAGCAAAAAGAAGCAGGTTGTGGCTGATCCAGGTTAGTTCTGTCTTCTGCAGTTTTCTTCTGCTCGCTTTCTAGAGACAGTTTGGATAATGAACGTTGTCATAGACCTGAACTGGGAAAAGTGGGGAGACTTAGACCTCTTTTATATATTTAGCTCTACTTTTTCTACCATAGGAAGGCAAACCTGGAATGTCATACTCTGATGGATTTTTATTCTATATCTAAATCTGAAAGTGGACGATATAAATCAAGGATGTATATGATATGTGGACATAGCTTATACCAACACATACACAGAAGTCCTCAGGAAAGAAACTGAGTGAAGATAAGCTGAAAACTGGTGTTAATTGTGCAGGTTCATAGATAGCTTTTTGGAATAATAGGCTCATTGCATCTCCACTGGCCTTTTAAGCAGCTTTAGAGATGATGCATGTGTCTCTCAGAACTAGCTGCTTGTTTCTCCTCAAGCAAATCCAAAATCACGATAAGTGTAACAAGGGGGAAAACATGTTGGCTTTATTCCTCCCACTGCCTTTCTGGTTGGTCTTTTCTCTTACAAAGTGATAATTAAAAAGACAACCTCTTTTTTTTTTTCCCAAGGAGACAGAGTAGATTGTATTTATAGTCTGAAGAGTCCTAGTCATTCATTGTAAATTACTCAGAATAGCTCCCTAAATACATTACAAATTCTCAGCCAAGCTGGTATATTCATGATTGTTTTTCTCTCCTGAGCATGACACTTTCTCCAATTAGTTCCTCTAGAAAGTGTTAGAGAAATTGTTTGATGGCTTTTAATAACAGTTCTTTAGGAGAAGGATTTGAAATGCCATTGCTTGTACAAATACAGCTTCGAAGTTGTTAGTGTGTTAGCACTAGCTGCATCAAAAGTATTTTGAACATCTCTGTGCCTGTTGTAGTGACATCCTGGGTTCCAGTGCAGACATACCCTATGTCCAGTAAAGAACAGCTGTCATTGCCACAGCCGTCACGTCTATTTTCCAAGTATTGAGGACAGACAATGCCTCTGAAGTCATAGGTTGAGGGTTGCCTATTGCCACCTGCCCCATGTCTCCTGTGTAGTACTTACTGGTATCAGCTGCGGTGGTTGATAAGGTAGGTTTGTAGAATGGTTTGGGTTAGAGGACACCTCAGGGGGTCCCCTCCCGAGGGAGAGTCCAGCCTCCTGCTCAGAACAGTGTCAACATTGAATTCAGACCAGATTCCACAGGGGAGCGATTCCATGGGACGGTGAAAAAATTGGCAGCCCTCACTGTCAATGTAAGAAACATTACTGAGAAGAGTAGCTTAGCTTGCTTTCGTTCTGGGATGAAGAGAGAAATGGGTATGTTTCTTCCTCATTTTAGTGTGTGGTTTCGCTGTTAATACAGGTACAGTCTTAAAACAGCACTCAATTTTCCTTAACAGCCTTGCGTCCAAAAACCTGCATGTGTGAAAAAGGACTGCAGAGGAGGAAAAGATAACAAGGGATTGTGATTGGAAAGTCCGGAATACATCCAGCCCTAAATAACTGCAATCTAGATCCCCAAGATATCTA